ATTGCCTGTTTCTCTTTATAAATACATGTATAGTGCACCGTGTATTGGAATACATGTGACATTAAAACAGGTTCATGATGTGACCTTAAACTAATTGCTGTACATAATGATACTTTAGTATAGAAAGTACGAGTAGGTCATATATATATATTGCTTGTGGTTCTTACTTTAATTCAGTCTTAGAAGTAATTATGTACCCAATGAATGTACTCTGAATGTTAAAATATTTAAACAATAAAATGCTTTCTTTGTTTGTTGTTACTGGAATGAACGGAAGCAGCTGTTGCAGAAAAAAATACATAACCCGCGTAAGCGGGTTATGTGAATTTTTTCTGCAATAGCTGCGACCGTTCATTTCAGTAATAACAAACAAAGAAAGACATTTTATTGTTTATATTTATATCTGTTTAAATAACCATTTTAAATAGGATCAAAAATATTAATTATTGTGTTAATGATGCGAACGTCTTGTACGTTTCATTGATGGAACGGCCACTGATCAAGAAATCTGTACAGGTGATATGCCTAATGTAGTTTATGCAGTGATGAACGCAATGGGTTCTTTAAGAAATAAAGAAGAAAATATTCAGTGGATGTAAATATATCTGTATATATGAATTCAAAATAAAAGATGTTCTCAATATCATATCAATAATGATTACACTACTAAGTTGACTAAAAAAAACATTGAAAAAAAAAACAATGTAGACGATATGAACACGATATCGTAAGAACATTGATTTGAACAAACTTGAATTTACACTTATATAAAGGATGCGTCCATTTCAATATGGCTAAGCATGGCTTTGCTGTTCTTGAGAAGAAATTTCCTTATATAAAACTATGCGTACTGTTCCGTGTCGTGACCCATCCGAACAACTAAGGTCATGATTTGAACATATTGAATCAACTGAGGATTCTTCCAGATCAGTATGGTTTATCATAAAAAAAACTGTAAGAAAGAAAGCAAATTTTTCGCTTTATTGTACTAAGAAGAAAATTTTGGAAGTTTTCCCGATATTTCATCCATGTAAATTTTTGATCGTCCATTGTGGCCTCACCCTACAATGGCTGAGGGGCATAATTTGATCAAATTTAATTTACATTATGCAAAAAAAAAATCTCATATATCTTTCAACATTTTTCCCCGGTGGTTCGTGAGAAGTTGATTGAAAAAAAAACAAGATTTTTCACTATTTTCTATATACTCCCCTTGAACTCATGATGTTCTGGATGTTACATATCCTTGAAAAATAATCTTTATAACAGTACGTGCACTATTTTACCATTTTTGCGGGGATAGCTACTGAGCAATGGTATAAATAACATGACCTTTTAATCACTTTAATCTTAATCATTTTATCAGATGTAATAATCGATATGTTTATAAAAAATGCTTGAATAATAAGCATCATCGAACAAATAATGCAAATTATTGCTCATTAATTATTGTGTGACTTTTTGCATCAAAAAATATTATATTTGGGATATCAAAAATCTAAATAGAGAATAATATGTTTTCTTGTGTCAAACGTTCTATGACTTTATCTGTGATCAGTTGGATGTATGATGTAATTTAGAATGATAATGAAAGAAAAGGCTAAGATAAGCCATGTAAATTTTGAGATATTTATCAAAATATGCGATTTTTCGGCAATAAAAAAAAATATGAATTTTATCTTGAGTTCTTTAAAATATTTTCATTTCTAGATCTTGGCAAAGTCTTTGTGTTAATGTGCAAATGTTAAAATATACATTGAAACATAAGGATAATATTCCTAGCACTTAAAACGGAAAATATTCTCTGAATAAAAATATATGTGGAAAAATATTTGAAAGTCCAAAAGATTTAAATGTTATTAGTGTAACAAATGTATAGATTTGAAAGATTCTTCCCCCGTAAATCTAATTTCTGTGTTCCTATTAGAGCGATTTTTGAATTGAATATTGTATATATACATTTTTAATTCAAATATTTCATGAATATTGAATCGTAAGGAATATTTTTGAAGTTAAAGGTTCTGACCAAATTTTTCTTAAAAGCTGACGAATGACACACTTCAAAGAATGAATTTTTTAACAAATTGAAATGATCGCGAGCATTACTTTCTTTTACATTAAGAAAAACATTATTGCTCCTCCATAATTAAAGACAAAACCAGGATCGCATGGACATTGTGCAAAGAATCTTACTAACCGAAATTAGTGAAATTTTCATTTAATTTAAATAATATAAGTTAACACGTTGAATTGCATTTTACAATGCGTGAAAAGAAGAAAACACCTGCTCTGGCCTTCAACTCGACATATAATAGATATATCGACGACGTATAATTGTCAATTAACAATAGTAATTTTCATTCTTATATCGATACGATATATCCTGGTGAGCTTGGGAAAAATACCACAGAGTATAATTCATTTTTTTCATATTAGGATATTTTACTTGAATAAGACATTAATGGTATTCTTTCAACCAAGCTTTACGATAGACATGATGACTTTAACTTTTCTATCGTCAACTTCCCTTACTTAAATTTTGCAGCAATATACCATCATCACCTGCATACGGAGTTTAGGTATCTTAGTTGATTCGATACGCAAGATCATTCTCTGTATGAACAATTTCTAAAACAAGGTAAATTATTGACAAACAGGTTGATGAAACAAAAATATCTTATTCAGCAGTCTCATTTAAAGTCGTCATTTCGTAAGTTCGACGGGCGTAAAAATGACCTTGTCAGCATATATAATTTATCATTTAGTCAAATGCTGACTGATGTTCTTCATACTAATTTTAAGTCCATTATTTATACACAGATATGACGTTTATACACAAAATTGACGACGGGTTTTCCGTTACTTCCTGACAAGGAATCCATGGCGGGTGTCAGCAGGGAATGCTCACTCCTCCATAGCACCTGATCCCACCTCTGAGGTTTTGGAGGTTCTTGTTTGATCTGCGCCTATTTTGTATTGTTTTATGGACTAATAATCTTAGATACTGTTCGTTATCTCCATGTGTTCTATGTCAAGCAAATGCAATTCAGGTATCAGCCTTTATTAAACAAGTTACTGTTGAGAATTTTATGTAATAAATGCATTTATTTCACCTTGCACTGCAGTTCAATCTTATTCTGCAAAGCCTCTTTCATGAGCAAATTAATGTTCTAACATCTAATTGCCTTAAGGCTATAAATTTCCTTTAAAAAAACTGGAATGGGTTATGTGTTCTGTCGGTTGATGCTACGAAAGACCCAAGCATGGTACATTTTTGACTTGACAAAGATCCAATGAGTAAACGTTAGTGCTGTTCAGTTTAATAACTCATTTTAATTTCGAATAATTGTTGCTAGTATTTGAAGTTTGAAAGTGAGACAAAATTGTAAGAAAAATGTAATGTTGCAGACCATAGATGACCATAAATAGCAAAACAATATCAAAACACCAGAGAGAAATTTTGGACAGTAAACAGTGTCGTGGAATAAAAAAAGGTAAATATTTTTCGTATCTGGACAGATCCAAAACTTTGTTGGGATCCTGTAGAAAACGATAATATAACTCTTCTTCATCTTCATTAGGATCAAATATGTAAACCGGTATCATTCTATATACCTCATAAATGTCTTTTAATTACAAAATTGTGTCATGCGATATATCATTTCCCATTTCAGTTAAGATTAAGGTAAGATTATATCATAGTTCTTGTACTTAAAAAATTAGGAAATTTTCACGGAATTAAGAAGACTATAACACTAAGTGTTCGTATCAGTGAAATTAAATTTGACTGTTTACATAAGAGACAACGTCAGGTCAAGGTCATTACCTTTTTCTTGGACATTAATAATAATAAAAATTAATGTTGCAAATTATGCAAAAGAATTGAATGTTTTTCTTTTTGCATAAAAATTTACTACCATAAAGGGTTAGGACCTGTAAGATGATGTTACCAAATTGAAATAAATAATTTAACTAAAATGGATATTGGTCCATCCGAATTTCCTCTTCTTTTTCTTACATTTTTATGACATTTAAGGTATTATTATTTGCTTCCCATATTTGAATTATTCTCATTTTCACATATGGTAAAGTTGTCACATATAAAGTTAAAAAAAAGATTAAAAACAAAAAAAAGTTTTGATCGTTTACTAAGAGAGAAAAATACGTTTTACCGAATTTTTGCTCAGATTTGAAGCTTTTAAAAGCTAAGGTCTTTTTCTTTTAAAAATCATATTTATTTGATTTACCGGTACTAAGGAACTTTAACCCCTTATTATTTATATAACTTACATTTGAAAAGTTCTTCGTGTTTTTTACCGTGTTACAATTATATTTAAATTCATTGTTCTATAATTATTTTTGAAGGCAGAAGAGAAGATATTTTCATACGCCACCAATCCGCCATATATAGTCCATCTTAGTTTTCAAATTCGGTTTACCATTTTTATTCAAAGAACAATTGTGATGAGGAAAGAAAAACGTGGCTTTTAAATATCTAACACCTAAATCTAAAGGACAAATAAGCAACTGTACTTTGAGTATTTCATCTTTTCAGAAACCAGAGAAGAATCCTACCTTAATCTTGGTTGGAATGATTCAGAAAACCGTATCAGAATTCAATTTTAGTATACAAATGTTGTGTCGTAAAAAGTCGAGATAAGACGCATTGATAAAAAGTTGAAAAATAAATATAAGCAATGTTTAGACTGGATGGATTTTATTTTTTGTTTACGGTTATTCTTGTCTTTTGTGACTTCTAAGTAAGTGTACAGTTAAGGATTATTCAATTTTTCAGTTCGTTTTAAACGTGAAATACTATAATTTTTATTATTCTAAGCATCGATTTTAACACATGCACATACATGTAATCAATATTAACATTAACTTCCATTGCCAGAGAATAATGTGTCCTCAAGTGATACATGTGTATATTGAGGATACTGGAAAAAATGTTCAATTTGTCTTTATATACCCTTCATAATTTTAGTTTATATCATACGTTTAATCATATCCTCATCGCTCAAAATTCATATTGATAAAATAATATACATGTTTAATAATAGTAACATAATGATGAATTAAGGAAACCCGTTTTTGCATATCATTATTGATTTCAATTTGTGTGTTTTGTTTGATCTGCAGCATCTATAATTTGATAATGTGTGTAAAAAAAGAACATTGCTTGTTTCTTTGAATAACTCATTTCTAGGACACGTTTCATCTCTATTCTACAAATACCTCTATTTTCCTGTAGGTCCCCATGATTAGTCTTAAGATAAACATTACAACAGGCGGTCTCGAAGAAAATGGTTAATAAAATGGCGTAAGTAAATCAAACCTCAGTATCAACTGATGAATTTTTAAATATTTCTTTCTTAAACATGGTCAGAAAAAGACAGAAAAGACATAAATGCATGTTTGAAATAGAATAATGAAAAACCATGTTTATGTAAAAGAAAGTTATCGATCCTTAGCAACCATTTCTTTACTGGTTCATATTTAGGGATTACTTTCGTCTGTAACTCTTACATGTCTGATTTAATTAGATATGTTAAAGTGTAAGTGTATTGTATACACGTATATCTAAAAAAAAAAAAAAAGGTTTGGCATGTGGAAATTTATGTCTGATTATAATGATTTTGATCGTGCAGCACAAGCGTCGGAAACCAGGAAGGGCCTATATTTTTTGGTTTAGCCCTCCACCCTCTACTTTTTCAATTTGCTTACGCTTACATGCATTGCCAAATTATCCCTTTTATGAAAACAAGGATAATTGAACGGTTCTTCAATTATTTGATTGCTTTAATAATTTACAAATTTGCACAATAAATGAAGGATATGGAGATAACGAACAGTATTCAATATGAAAGTCCATAAAACAAGTCAAAATAGGAGCAGAGCAAACACGGAACTCCAAAACATTGGAGGTGAGATCAGGTGCCATGGAGGAGTTAGCATCCCCTGCCGATCGGTCACACCCGCCGTATGCTCCTTGTAATGATTGGGAAATACGGAAGAAACCTGCAACAGTCTTCTCTAGCCAGTAGTAGTGATCCGCAGAGTGGGGTGGGGGGTGGGGGTCATCACCCTTAGCTAGCGAAGATGACTATACATGTGTATCTTCACAAACATTTTTGTTTAGATAAATATATGAAATTTGTAGATTTTTAATATGAAGAATTTCTCAAAAATCACTGTCAATAAATATGCGTGAATTACCGTATATAAGCAGAATAAATAGTGAGGTTTTAATTTTGGCACTAGTTGCTGAGATCGCTAAAATTAAACATCGCTGAACATCAATCGAATTTTATTTGTAATAGCTTCTCTAGGGGACATTTTAAAATCGCTAAAATTGCATCTAGCTACAAATCAGATACGCATGATACATGTACCAATCTTTAAGGACAAATCGCTAGGTTTGCTTCTCGCTAAAATTCCCTCTAAATACGTTATATGGAAAATTTCGGATAAATGATGAATGTGGTCTGCGTGCCAGCATGCATGTAGGTACATATACTTGTATTGCATAATCAGTGGAGATCACGTTTCTAAGACAAGTGGAAATAGAATCATCATAATTGCTTCTATTATATAAAATATTATTATAAATATATATCTATAACTGTATATCAAATAAGAAAATACGTTAAACTTTGCTTTAGAAAAGCAGAGTGGATCCTGGATAAGGTGGGGATAGCGTGGGGTATAGCTGGAACACTTCTGCTGATTGGTTGTTTATGCTATTCTCACCTGAAGCGCTGCTGTAAATGGCTCCGGCACAAAATTTCCAAGCAATCCCATGATCATATCTCAACAGAGTTTCACTGTATGTACTTCTGCATTGTATATATAACGTTTTTCTGACTCTACTGTAATTATGATCTTTTTAACGAAAATGTTATAATAACATAATTAATGTATTGATTATAAATACAGGATTTAACATTCTATTATGATTTATGTATTTGTTTGTCACTAGTTACTCCAGACGACGTCTCCGATGGCATTATAATGAGACCAACATCTAGACCTTTTCATAATTACAGAAGAACTACGCTGTCAAGCGATCAACACGTCGGAATATATGAACATGATGAATGGGAGAACACTGGCTATGTTGGAGAACTATTCTCTCCGCCAAGAACTCACTTCAGTCATCAGAAAATGCCTATAAGCACAACTGTGTAATTAAAACAAAAGCCCAACTTCAAAGGAATTGTAACATTTCATCACTACACGTAATTTGATAGAAGTGGAAGATCAAATTATACACTATCGACAAATCGTTTTGATATAACTATAACATCTTTTGTTTTAGTCGCCCGCGTGACGCTGTGGTAAAAATGTCTGCTCTAGAGTCGTAAAGTAAGGATCGAGTTGATCCTTTCGCCGCAGATTCAAATCCATCTGTGGGACGTGGAGACCGGTTCTTCGAATGCAATCGCATAAACCTAGGTCCCGTATTGCAGTGGGTACGGGCAAGAAAAAAGATCCCTCCCTGCTCAATAGCCCTGAGTGCCGAGTATAGGACAAAAATTTGCAGCTCTCGACCGACAAGTGGTGGCATCTCCATTAGAGTGGAAATTCTCGAGTGGGACGTTAAACAATATACAATCAATCATCTTTTGTTCTAGATTTTCTCTTTATATTTTCTCTTTACAATCTCGGCCAAATTCTAACGCAAACGAACGCTAAAAATCGAATGCATGGAGTAAACTGTCCATTATTTTTATTTATCGAGATCAAGGTTCATGTGACATTACATGTAAAGACAACTCATTTTGATACAGATTTTTTATTGTGAATTTACATTCTGATTTTATACAATATTATCATATACATTTGTGTATTTGTTATCACATTTACTATATTTTTATACAAGATATACAACTTAGCTTTATCCATGAAAGTGTTTAATATGTATGTTGATTATCGATTAACTTTACTATGCAGTTTACCTACAGTTTACATAACACATACATTGATAGTTTTAACATATTTAAAAGACATACAGTATTGTCTTGTTTGAAAGAATACCGTGTACTTTTAATATACTACATCAATAATTTTGTCGCTAGCTATCGAGTGCCGTATAGCATACATTGACGATTTAAATGTATTACAATGAACAGTGGTTTAGTCAGCGGCTTTATATGGAGGCCCTTGAATATAGTGAGCGAATATGGTGGACAATTCCTTTTAGGAATCATGTTCAGCTTTAAATTTGAATCTTTTGAAAAACTAGTCGTAATTGAAGTACGATGTGTTTTAAGACTTTCATATATAAATGGTGTTTTCATTGTTACCTGGTTATTCTATAGGTATCTGCACATTTGATCATGAATTTTGAGATTGATCTACTTTCGATGCTTTTTAACTTTGGTAAGAATTGGTGAAGTGCAGGTGCTAGGTTTTCATATTTCAGTTACATGTATGTATGCTGATTTTTACCAATTTTCTTTTCATCATAAAATTCATCTGGTTTTGTATTTTTTTAAATAGTAAATATGACACTTGTTACTCGAAAATAAAATTCTCGCGAATAAATGGTAATTTACTTTTTATAATACAATCCCTCAATCAAAGAAATACATGTATAATATGAATTATAATCTTCGAAAATAGTTCGTTCATCACAAAATTGATCTGGGGTTGGACATTTTGCGAATTACTAAAACACATCTCAGTGAATCATTTTTAAAAGATATACAGTAAACAAAGATCGAAGTGAAATTAAATGTACGAAGGTCTCAAAAAGTTTGTAGACTTTTGTCATAATTTTTTTTTATTTAACGTCATATTTAGTACACATCTCTTAACTAAATTCTAATAAATTGGGTAAAAATATTAATAATATAAATTTTGATACTTATCAAAATTATGAAAGATTTAACAGCAAAAATAGGGTCACGGAGCAGGGTCAAAACTGAGTTAATTACTAATATTAATTATATACTTTAAAATGTCTATAGTCTTACCTCTAATAAATGGCACTTCAACGAAATATTTTTTTTGTGTTTAATAACATACGGCTTCGAGTAAAAGACATTAATTTCAAAGACAGATAGACCTGACTTCAAAAAGCGGTAACATCAAGGGACGTCACGGTGTAACGAATAGCAATTAAGTTTTAAAGTTTGTTTTACATTCGGGGAGTCACTAAAAAATTCTGGAAATGTTGGAGGGACCAAGAAATATATGAAAAATAAGCCGTGCTTTTGTATATGATGGAGAAGAAAATTTTTGAGTGGAAGAGACATTGACTCGGACAATGGACGGTCTGCGAAGAAACATATGATTGTTAAAAATCTTGTCAAAAGAGTTACATCAAGAAACATGGTGTGCTTTTCACAGTTGCAGAACCTATGAAAGCAGAATTACGCGTTAAAGAATGAAACCATTGACAATTCAAAGTAACTTTCTCAAAGAATTATTAGTAAACTATGGGTGTCAAAGATATACGTAGTAAATACTTTTTTTATAAATAGGAAAGTCGTTTAAAAAGTGTATGAAATGAAAAGGCTGAGTAATTTTGAGAAACTTTCTTGGGGTTGTTTTTGACGTTAAACATGTAATGGTTTTAACCGTGCTCAGTAGTGACAAAACATGTTGCTTTTTAAATTGGCTAACAGGAGTTTCATTTAAGCAAATGAAATGAAACAATTTACACATTAACAAAATATATGTTTTAAACATATGAAAATGAGTTGATCTTAGATCTTGTAAAAATAATATGATGATAAAGGACATTGTCTACGAATTTTTTGAAAAATATTTTCACTCAAAATTCGGCAGTTTAATTTTCCAGAAATCACAGAGCAAAACAAAAGACTAAAATGAACCGTATTCTTCATAGACGTACCATAGGCTGATTCAATATATTTTTCTGAATTCATGGACGTTTTTTATGCTTTATTACCTGTATTTCTTGATTTTCATTAAAAAATGTTAGAATCATTCCGAAAATAATATTAAAATTGAATTTTAACAATTTGTACACAAATGCTGTTTCGTATAAAAAGCGAGATAAGACGCGTTTAAATAAATTCAATACAGAAAGTTGGAAGAGAAATATCAACGATTTTTTTTAACTGGATGGATTTAAAAAAAAAAACGGATATTCTTGTCTTGTGTGTACATGTACTTCTTAGCTAGTGTACATTTAGGGCTGTTAAAAGGTAATGTCTTTTTTTTATTATTTTTTTTCATTTAAATGTGAAATACGTTTCACTTTAATTTAGAATCCTTTTCTACACATGCACATACTCAATATTTACATTAACTACCAGTGCCCGTGAAAATAATGAGAACTCCAGCGATATATACATGTCTTTTGAGAATACTTCAAATAATATTTGTTTTGTCTATACATATCTATTAAATTTTTGATTGTTTACTATATTTAATCGTATCTTTATCGCACAGAATTAAAATAATAATATATATAGAGGAAATAATCATAGAATGATAAAATTAAGGAAACCCGTTTCTGATTATTATCTCTTTATCATCATTGGCTTGATTAAATTTGTGTGTTTTGTTCAATTTGCAGCACTTATAATTTATAGTGTATATAAAAAAGATTGTAGTTTGTTTCTTTAAGGAATGTACTTCTAGGTAAGACACGTTTAATTTGTATTCTACAAATACCTCTATTTTCACGTAGGTCCACATGATTAGCCTAAAGTTGAATATTACAAGCAGGCAGTCCCAAAGAAAATGGTTTATCAAATGACGTGAGTAAATAAAACCTCAATTACTGATGGATTTCTTAATTTATTTTTTCTTATAACTTATGGAAAGAAAAGACAGAAAAGGCATAGAAATGTTTGTTTGGAAATAGAATAATGAAAAGCCAAGTTTAATTAGTGGAATGTCATTGTTTCTTGGAAACCAAAATTTTCTGGGGACTTACATGTATTTTCGTCGATAACTCACTGGTCACGGAAGCCTAGTGGTAGAGCGTTCGCTTCGTGATCGGGAGGCCCGGGTTCGATTCTCTTTCCCGGCGCCGCGTCAAACCTAAGACGTAAACATAGGTAGTGACTGTTCCCTCGCCAAGCGCTCAGCACTAGAAATGAAAGTCACGAGTCTTTCCGATATGACCTTAATAACGCATGTCCCGTGTCACGGTAGGCGTTGGCACGATAAAGAACCCTCACTGCTCAATGGCCCTGAGTGCTGAGTATAGGTCTAAATTTGAAGACCTTTACCGACACATGGTGACGTCTCCATATAAGAAAAAATTTCTCGAGAGGGACGTTAAACAACATACAATCAATCATCTATTATTCTTACGTGTCTGATATATATCAGTGTTACAATTAATATGTGAAATCGGGAATTTCACGTATTTCTGAACTATCAGTAAAAGGCTTGAAATAGCATATCCATGAAATTTATATCAAAAAATAGGTGATTTAAAAAAATTATCAAACAAACCTTTATCAACCTACACTAAAAATACAGAAAAAAAGATTAAACGTTTTCTGTCTCGATATATGTTTTTAGACAGTGGCTAAATACCTGACAAATATCTCACTGACATCTAAATTCACAAAAAAGGTTATGCCCAAAAATGATGCCAAAATGTAAGGGAGTGAAACACCTTTTTGTAACATTTTGAAAATTCAACAGTTTCTTTTAACATCAAATTAAATTCAATAGTTTTTTTTTGGGTGGGGGGGGGGCTTACAATTTTTTTTACCGGTCAGCAGGGGATGATCACCCCTGCATGGCACTGATCCCAGCTCTGATGTTTGGGAGATCCATGTTAGCTCTTCTCCTATTTTGTATTGTGTTATGGACTTTAAGATTGAATACTATTCCTTATCTCCATATCCTTCTTAAACATCTGTGAACTAAATGATAATGGTTTATGTCGAAAATAAAGACTTCCCAGATAATAGTCTTAGTATTGAGTTTTTAAAGGTTACTGTAAAAAGTTTTGTTTGATCAAGATATGATCATGGCGATGCTGACAAAATGTTATTTTATTATAGGTTTGCAACAGAAAAAAATGTATTGTGTTGCTGGAAAAACGTTGATAGTAATAAGACTCTGAAAGACAATTAAGTTAAAAAAGAATTTGAATTTTCAAAGTGTAAAGAAATATATAATTTTAGAATATAAAATGCTACAATGTATATAAATCACAAGCAGCATTTATAAGAGTTCATGTACATGCCTAATAATGTTATGAGTGCAACATTTGATGTGTTGCTCCCCAGCTTGAATTTTTTTGTTTACAATTTTATAAATACTTACAATTATATCACGTATTTAAGTCAAATTGAAATGGAAACATCATATATGATATTTCTTTTGTTGTGTAAACTTCATCGTTGTCAGAGCATACACGTTAAACTTTGTTTTAGACAAGCAGAGTGGATCCTACACAAGATCGGAATAGCACTTGGTATAGGTGCCTTGCTGGTGTTGGTCGGTTGTTTATGCTTTTATTGCCTCGATCACTGCTTTCAACGACATCGACGAAAAAAGGCGAAAAAGTTTCATGACCGTGCCTTAACAGAGTTTCACTGTGTGTTATCCTACATTGCATATAACGTGTTCTTGACTATATATCAACTTATAACTTTTATTTTTAAAGACATTGTCATGATTGTTGAAAAATAATCAGATTTCTTGAATAAATATACAATTATTGAGTGAAATAGTAATCTATGTATATTTTTAATAGCCCCCGAAATTGGAGATTCGGTGACATATATTTTTGGCTATGCTCGTCTGTCTGTCTGTCATTCTTTTGTCTGCAAAAATTGACTTAATAGTAGACCCACTCTTCAAAAATTTAAAAAAATGTAACTTTGACCATAACTTTTAATTTTGAACAGTCCGTGCTAAGGTTTTCATATCTCATGAGTATATTTTTTCACGAGGCCTTTCCAGGCATGAGATATCAAACATATGACCGTTTGATCCTGACCTTGGAGTTAAACCTACATTTGAAAATTAAACCTCGTCAAAAACTCTTGAATGATTAGAGTTAAGGCATTCATATTTCATAAGTGAATTCTTTCTATAACCTGTCAACATTTTGTTATCTCTTGACTTGACCTTGGAGTTTGGCCATTTAAACAAAAAACGTTATCATTGACCATACATGTTAGAGCTAGCTACATGTATATATGGCTTTTACATTAAAAAGTTGCATTCCTCGTCACAAACTAAACCTTTTTTGGTGTCCCAAGTACATCACATTTGGATCGACCCTGGTAATTTATCTCTTGGTCTTATACATGTAGTTGACTTGCATTTGAGAAACTGTTACCTTCGAGATGAGCTGTCAAACAGGGGTATCAGTGTTTTACAAACACATTTAATTTTTTTTTATGCCCCCGTAACGAAGTTTCGCGGGTATATAGTTTTTGTCGTGTCCGTCTGTCTGTCTAGCTGTCTCTCTGTCTGTCTCTCTGTTTGTCTGTTTGTCCGCAAAAACTTTAACCTTGTCCATAACTTTTGATTTAGAGGAGCTATGACTTTCATATTTTATAAGTATATTCCTTGTGACAAGACCTTTCTTAGGGTACCACCAAATTTGACTTTTTGACCTTGACCTTGGAGTTTGACCCACTTTTACATGAAAATTTTAAACTTTTTCTTTGGCCATATCTTTTGAATAGTAGATACCAGGACATTTATACTTCACATATGTAATGTTTGTTGAAAGACCTTTCATTGGATACCAACAACCTTGACCCCTTGACCTTGTAGATTTCCGTATTTGTGAAAAAACTTTAACCTTGGCCATAACTTTTGAACGGTAAGAGATAGTGCTTTTATACTTCACTTATGTAATCTTTGTGAAAAGACCTTTCATTTGATAGCAAGACCTTTGACCTTGACCTTGGAATTTGACCTACTTTTACATGAAAATTTTAAACTTTTTCTTTGGTCATATCTTTTGAACAGTAGATACCCGGACATTTATTCTTCACATATGTAATGTTTGTTGAAAGACCTTTCATTTGATACCAACAACCTTGACCCTTTGACATTGACCTTGTAGATTTCCGTACTTGTGAAAAAACTTTAACCTTGGCCATAACTTTTGAACGATAAGTAATAGGACTTTCATACTTCATATATATAATCCTTGTGAGAAGACCCTTCGTTGGTGTACCACCAAATTTGACCTTTTGACCTTGACCTTGGAGTTTGACCCACTTTTACATGAAAATTTTAAAATTTTACTTTGGCCATATCTTTTGAACAGTAGATACCAGGACATTTATACTTCACACATGTAATGTTTGTTGAAAGACCTTTCATTGGATACCAACAACCTTGACCCTTTGACCTTGACCTTTGAGATTAACCTACTTTAAAAAAGCAAACCTTGACCATAACTTTTAAAGAGTTACGGCTAGTGCTTTTATACTTTATACATTTGATTCTTATGACAAGACCTTTCATTTGATAACAAGAACGTTGACCTTGACCTTGGAGTTTGACCTAGTTTTAATAAAAAATGAACGTTGGCCATAACTTCTGAATGGTTAGGACTAGGGCTTTCATGCTCAACATAAGTATTCTATGTGGCAAGACATTTCATTTGATACTAATCAGTCCAGTCCAATACGAAAAATCGTAATATTACTAAAATTCGTAACATAAGCAATTTCTAACTCTTTTAAGAGTTACTTCCCTTTTTTCTGATACAACCTGCTTGTTATGTTTCATGAGAGTTTATACGTCTCTGGTTTCATCAAATCATAGTGGATATGCATGCATTTTCTTTGTTTTGATGCATTTGATCCAAGTGCATGCAGAGTCAGAGCCTAGTGAAAGTTCTACAAGTTATATCCCGTAACATCTCGTTGTTGGAGATGAGGGTCTGATTTTTAGTGTAGACTTCGGGAAAAATATAGGGAATTCGGGGATTATAGAACACTATGACAAGTTTTAGGATACATTGAAGTTTTATGGAAAATTGTTCCCATCCCTGGAAAAATTCTTATATAAGAATAATAATACAAAATTTTCACTCACCCATTACTATTGTTACTTTCTTCTTGCATTATCATACTTTTCGATAGACGTCACTGACCAAAATGACCACGTGATACTAGTACCATTGGGGCATAATGTATTTCTGACGTCATACTTTCCTTAACATCATTCAGTTTCTTTCAATGCTTTATTTGTCTTACATTACGAAAACTCGTAATATAGTATCTCACAACATGCTATATTACGAGTTTTCGTAATTTAACTATATTACGAAAAATAGTTATATGGGTCAATATAAAAAAAGCAGCTAAATGGTTCATATGAAAATTGGAGATACAATTAAATATTTCCGTTTCTTTTTTGTATCTAAATTGATAAAGCTGCACAATATTTTGGGAAAACAACATTTAGCAAACAGTAGGGAAGCTACTTTTTTCAGAAATTTCTCGTAAAAAATATCAAATTGTGTTTTTCTGTCATTGGTGTTACCTTATAAAATTTTGTTGTATAGAATCAATTAAAAGACTTATGAATGCAAGCCATGATAAACATGTTCTAGGATTATTCAAGTTTACTGACAAGTCCAAAAGTATCGTTGTCCAGTGATGAAAATTAAGTTTTCAATCATATTTGGACATTAACATGAGACAAAAATAAATAGACACACACTAAAAAATAATTTATGACTTTTTTCAAGGAGTGAAAATAGGTAATATAAAGTTATTTCTTACATTTAAACTTATTAAAGTAAAAAAAATAACAAGTTTTAGGTTGGTTACTCCACTGACTCAACTGTAACACCAATGATCGAAATTAGTAATACTAATGACTTAGCACTTAAGAATTAGCATTTAAACATACTATAACATGAAACTTCATGTGAAAGACAGAATACACTGCATGGCTTACATACAAAAATGAAAAAAGTTTCTGGGATTTCATACTTAAAATGATCTTATATCAAAAAGAAATCTGGTAACACCAGTGACAGAATAGTTAACTTTTATGGTAACACCAATGACTGGTGAAGTAACACCGGTGACAAGAGATATGCAGTGTTGTTAATCATTGTTTTGAAAAAAAATAATGTTTGTAGGGTAAAAGTGTCTCAGTTGTGAAGGATATGATGTTTTAAATCCCAAATTCTTTATTAGAGAACTAGTCAGATAAAATGTATTATGTATTAATCAAAATCTCTTGTCACCGGTGTTACTTCACCAGTCATTGGTGTTACCATAAAAGTTAACTATTCTTAGAGAGATTTGTACAAACTAAGTTAAACTTGACTAATTTTACTTTACGTAGGTGATAAACTCTGACATTCATGCATGGCCAGTGAATTTTTCAGAAGGGAAAATATATTTTTTGAGCATAAAAAATGTTTTGTCATTGGTGTTACATTTATATGAACTGAAGTTGTCATTGGCATTACCAGATATTTAAAACTTCCGTACTTGGAAAAAAAATACTAATTGGAAAATAAATCAATTACTTTCAAATACCATAAATTAGGTTTGCAAAGTAGAATACAAATAAATAATTTTTCAATATAAGAATTTAAGAAGATATTTTGCCTCCAAAAGTACTTGTTTTGTCAATGGTGTAACCATTCCTGTCATTGGTGTTAAACTTTAGAAAGTAATGCCAATGACCGTAACACCGATAACGTATTAGTCATAAAATGATCTAATATTTCTAATTTACCCTGGATAAAGTAAAAGTTTTGTCAACATTGCTTTTAGTTTCCCTAAAGAACATCTTACGTAAAAGAGTTCAGTGAATATCTAAAATCGTTTTGAAATAACGAGGGAAACACCACTGACAAAAAAAGTTTGTATTTGTGTACTTTTTAACTTCTGAAGTCCATTAATATGTTCTGATCATGAATATCAAGGAGCAGTTTCTGTTGTTTTTGGTGAGAAGTGATGTAATATGACTTAGGACTGTTTATATTTTCTTATCAGGAATGATAACTCTTTTGTAGCAAAAACAAAAATAGTAACACCAATGACACAACTTTCTTGTACAGTCATATTAAAAGGTGTATCAGTTAAATGGAAGGTGGGGCTCATATTTTTTATTCAAAGATATATTCTTTTTAATGTTTATTTTATGTATACACGATTTTTTAAACAAAATTTCATATAATTTTTGGCGTAGTTAACCTTATTTGAAGAGAAAAATTCCATTGACAGCATGAATTTGGCTGATTGGTGTGATAAAATCATCCATTGACTTTAATGAAATTAATTATGTGAAAATTTCTATTAGTAAATAGAAAGTACAGATGTCATAGATTGTAAAGCGACAATCAAAAATTGGGAGAAAATAAGAAATAGGTTTTTACAAAGAAGTGACACATTTAGCTGCTTTTTTTTATATTGACCCATATAAGAATAATATTACGATATTCTGTAATATTACGACTTTTCGTATTGGACTGGACTGCTAATTACATTGACCTTTTTACCTTGACCTTGGAGATTTTTGTACTTATTTAAAAAAAACTTTAACATTTGGTTACTTCTAAATTTCACAATTGTTTTCCAGTGAGAATACCCTACTTTTGGTACTATTTAGTTAAATTTGCATTTAAGAAAAGCTTAATCTTTGCTATGTTGCCATACAGGGGCAACAGTGTTTCACAAACACATCTGTTTTTATTGTTCTTCTAATTTCTTGCATCAAATATAACTGAAGAGTTTGAATTCTATATTGTTTTATGTATTATCTTTGTCAATAGTTACTCCTGAAGACGTTTCCGATGCTGTGATGATGAGACCAATATCCAAACCTTTTCGTGAAAACCATAGAAAAACTGTGGTGTTCAGCGACCTGTATGTCGAAATGAAGAATGATAACGTAACTCTTAATTGTGTAAGTGAACCTACTTCAGGAATAATAGATAAATACAAAGGTTCATCGAAGAAGGTTGATTCAAATCTTGGAAGAAGACATGCAGAGGATCAACACCGTAAACAAAATGAACATGATGACTTGGAGAACACCGGTTATGTTGGGGAATTACTACTCACTTCATCAAGGACTGGTATTAGTCGTCAGAAAATGCCTATTAGCACAACTGTGTAAAACACAAACGCTGATCTTCAAAGGCGTTGTTATATTTCATTACGACATGTAATTTGATAGAAGTTGAAGTTAAGGAAGCTCTAAACACTGCACACGAAAGAGTTCTAACTGTAGGGTAGTTTTATGCTGTTAGACTGATCTGCCCTTAGAAGCGAGATAGAAAAAATATTGTTATTTACAGTTCATTACACAACTTGTAATAGAATATAATATGCTAAGCATTAACTTAGACCAAGAATAAGCAATTGAACTAGAGCAAAGCTCGTTGCAAAGCAACGAGTAGGTCTTCCGTCCTGTTTGACCGGAAGTAGCTTTCATTTTTAACAAAAATACGAAATAAAGCCTAAAAAATGGTTAGACTCCTCTAAAGCCATGTTAATTAATGCAAAAATAAGCTATTTTTGGCTACTTCCGGTTTGACCGGAAGTGACGACGACGGACGAAAAATTTATTTTTATGCTCTCAGAGACATATGTTACCCAAAAACTTGTCAAGAAATGCAAACATATGCGTTTTCCAACTACTTCCGGTTTGACCGGAAGTGACGACGCCGGACGTATTTTGACGACCCCGTTAGATTTAGATTGACATTTTGAACAACTTTGCTTCTTTGACGTATTACAAATTCTCAATACGTTTTGAGATATAAAGAAAAAACTTTCGGCCCCTCTAGGCCCTTAATTTTAGGGGCCAGCTCTTTTTACTTGATATCATTTGAAAGATCTTGGAATTCTACACTTCTTTCGTTCTGTATGTTTTAACAAAGTATTTTCAGGTAAAAAGCTATCGTAGAAAAGGTGTTAAAAATTTTGAAATTCGCGATACGTCTATTTTCGGGCCATAGCGAGCGCCGACGTGCGGCACTTCCGATAAAAATGAAATACATTCCGCAAATCTACAGACATAGGTCTACCATACCTGAAAGTATCATGTGTCTATCTAAAGCCGTTTAGGAGAAATCATGCGGACAAACTGACCCTTAAAAAACCATTAAAGTGCCGATAACTCCGGACCGGAAGTGACGTCATCAAAACAGAAAAAAACGCATAAGGTTCAAGTGATGTAACATAAGTCCTGAAAGTTTCACGGAAATCCATTGAGCCGTTTTCGAGAAATCGCGTGCACAAAATCGGTAAGAAAAAAAAACAATAATAATAATAAAAGTGAAAAAGAAACCTAAGAATAACAAGAAGGTCTTCCGCTGAATACGGAAGACCTTAATTATTTCCATTTTTAAAATATATTTTAAAAATAAGTGTTTCTGTTCAAGCATAGTCCATTGCCTTTGAAGATTTTTCATGCAGAATTAAGACAGAGTAATGAAGTAAATAGTCTCAATCTGTACATCTTTACATGATATACGAGGGTCGTTCAAAAATTACGCGGACTTGTTGCACAGAAAAAATATTTGACGACATAATCGGGCAAAATTTCACAAATAATATAAAAGAATCTTTACTTATATGGTCTTCAAAATTTCATATCAAAATGTTGTAAATTGGTATTAATTTTGAGTGATTTTTCAGGACATACCATTCAGTTACGGCGCAGCATAATCGTATTTTTCTGTAAGTCCAAAAAAACTTTTTGTTTAGTGTATAGAACATTTATTTGACCTAGATATTCATATGATAAATCTGTATACAAAATTTCATTTCAGAAAGTTCAACGGTTGTGAAGATAAAGAACTGAAACTGCAATTAATTGGTATTTTTCTATGTCAAAGGGGCATAACTCTGTCACAAATCGGCCGATTATACCAAAAACAGAACTTGACCTAGATATTCATATGATGAATCTGTATATTAAATTTCATTTCAGTATGAGCAACGGTTGCAAAGAAAAATGAACAGAAACTGCAAATAATTGGAATTTTTCCAAGTCCAAGGGGCATAACTCTGTCAAAACTGGTGCGATCGTACCCATAATAAAACCTGACCTAGATTTTCATGAGATATATCTGTAAATAAAATTTCATTTCAGTATGTGCAACGGTTGCAAAGAAAATGAACAGAAACTGCAAATGATTGGAATTTTTCTGAGCCCATGGGGCATAACTCTATCAAAAATGGTGCGATCGTACCCATAATAAAACTTGACCTAGATATTCATGAGATATACCTGTACTCCAAATGTCATTTCAGTATGTGCAATAGTTGGTTAGAAAATGAACGGAATCTAAGTGGACTGACAGACCAACATAACGACTGACAGCAGCAAAGCAATATGCCCTCCCTTCTTCAAAAGGGGGGCATAAAAAGAAGTTAACCTTGCCTATTATACACTATTATGCATCATTATCTTATTTCCATATGAAGTTAAATATGAAGATCACAGACCACAACAACATTCTCTGCATGAAATAAAACCAACAAAAATATAATCTACTAAGGAGTTTAATAGCCATATCCATTTAATAAAGCAACGTGAATTAATAATAAATAATTCTGATATATATCATTGTCTAGAAAAATCCCAAAATAATATTACGATACAGATGACGTTCACTTGGAATTTTAAAATTGTGAATAATAACCAACTAGGATCTTCTTACAATTAAATACATGTATACATATGCATCAAGGTAAACAAAGGCATGAATTATTACGTCTTCTTTGCAACCATTCTATTTTTATTTCTATTGTTCAGATTGCTTTAAAATTTTCTTTTTCCCTAATAATATAACTAGTTTTTAATGGGACAGAAATACTACTCCAATTCGCCACACAATAAAATACCTGCCAATGATGGAATGTTTATGATATGCAATGGGAAATAAAAAATCTGTTTCTAATATCTATTTTGCAAGTAGGATTCTACACTCCAAAATAAAATGAGACTATTACTCTTTTTAAGTCTTAGACACAAGATGGGGGAAATTACTTCCACATCAAAGAAGTTCTTTGAAATTTACATACCTTGGCATCAAAATTAATATTAAAAACAAAAACGTTAAACAACTAATGTAATTTCAGAAAATATGAAATTAAACAGAAAAAAAACTATCAACAGAATATTTTGTTGGCAAAGGCCTTAAGAAAAAAAGTGAAAAAATAACACACATAAGAAAATAAGGTAATAAAAATGAAAAAAAAAACCTCTACTTTGAGTAAATTGAAACAAAAGGTACAAGCTATTTGCTATTAATTTGCATAACACTGCCAAAAACACCAATAAAATTCTCTAAACCAAATCTTCATACTTTGATTAAACACACCATTTTTACAATGCTTTAACCCTGTAAAAAAAACTGTGTTAATATGAAAACAAAAAAACAAAAAAATACAGAAAATCAAAGCTAGATATAATTAAATAAACAAAAAGTGCATAGAAAACTTAACACTAATTTTATACAAATAAAAAATATAAATATATATAACCATAACTATATTGACTTAATATTTTCTAGCCACTTCATATAAGCACATGAATGAAGAAATGCATCAACTTGTTTCACACAAACAAAATGTGGACTAACACGTTTATATGGACAATAAATACAAACAGCAAACTAACACACAGATCTTGTGACAGATCTAATGTTCACCAATCTTAATGGTGCTCACAATGGAACAACTACTTGGATCATTTTACGTGGGAAAAATGAGGAGAACAGAGATTTCAATTATCTTAATTTGGGAGAGACATTAAGTAATACCTGAGAATGAATGCAACAGATATCATGGTTAGTCTTGATGACAATGGCACTTAATTATTACGGTCTTAAGAAAAAGAGGGAAAACAGTTATTTTTTTCTTGAATATACAACATAAATGAAGCTTTCATCAAACTTTTACTGATTCTACACTGGATTTCACTCAGCAGGATTTCAAAACTCAACCAAATAGTTAGAATGAATAAAACACAACAGTCTACCTTTCCCTGACACTGCAATCAAAATATACAAATGATAGGAGCTTCCAATCTAAAAAACATAACTTTGCAAGTTTACAAAATTGTCATGATACTTTGCTATTCTTATAGATCAATGAACATAAATATTCACTCCTCATTTACAAAGTTCATCTGTGAGAGTTATTCCATTAAACATTCGTGACACGTCTGCTAAAAACAAAATATTATTCGACCTGGTACAAGCATTCAGCTAGTAAATTTGACCATTCATTATGAACATATGCAATGTTTAACATTCTGCACCAAGTACATCATTTATACATCCTAGGTACATATTGTAAGGAATGGAGAAATCTGCATATTAAAATATCACTTATTCCCAGCTAACTTAAAAAAAATCTGCCAAAAAAAGTTTATCAAACCTAAAATATATGTTGCTAGCTATATTTCTATGGAGGCAAAATTGTCTTTAATTAGCAAGGCGGTTTTCAAACCCCCCTCACCCTTTTTGACTTTCAGCACTAAATACATTGATGTCAATATAATGAAAATAGGCTTCAGATTTATCATTTCATAAAAATATGATGAACAAAACCCCCCAAAAATAGGTTGGTTTTATTTATAATGTGTTTGGGCCTTAAAGTTATTCCTTCCAATATATTATTCATTTTGCATAAAAAACTTCTTTGTTAATTAATTTTGTGCATGTTTAGAATACTTTGGGTTAAAAATATTTTGAGAGCTGAAGTGGGTACCTCTCTTCCAAATATAAAAAATCCTGGATCTTTGTTTTTAATATATAAATGTATTGTTTATCTAAATCTGTTGAAAATATTATCGTTATAATCCATACATAGATTAGCACTTATACACTTTGACCAATACATCATACAAACAGTTCAGCACATAATTTGATTCTACCTATGGGTTCAGTTTTCTATCCCCCTAGATTCTCTGAGGGTCTTGTCCCTGAGGTGACCCAGTTTGTGGGGGATTTTCCGACTTGTTTCCTCCAAACCAAGGAGTTTCTTTGTAAAGGAACCAGAGGTTACCAGCCCAGACAACCATGTTAAGGAAACCAAATATCTACAAAACAATAAGCATTTATCAATATACACAATATATTTAGATCAAGTTTAGGAAGATATTAATTATAACAATATTGTAAATGTATTAAATTTGGCATGTACGATATTTGGCAGATATAGAATTTTCAACAAATAAGCATAGAATGATTTGATTAAGAGCTATCTGAATGTGCTATATAAATGTTTAATTTGCACGTCATTTGACGATATGATTTTAAATAAAAGACTCAAACTTTGGCCAAAATAGATAAAGATAGGCATTTTAAAAAAAAGTAATATTCACCATATAAGTGGAAATTTTAGCGAGAAGAAAATTTAGCGATTTGTCCTTAAAAAATGGTACTTTAGTCTTTGGGAGATGCAATTTTAGCAATTTTAAAATGCTTACTATAAATTCTGAAGTTAATTACAAATAAAATGCAACTATTTTTAGCAATAATTAATTTTAGAGAACTCAACACCCTCGCTAATAATGCCAAAATTAAATCCTCGCTAAAAATTCTGCTTTTACGGTAACACATACCACTGAGGCATTTAGACTTCCGAAATTCGGAGTCGCCGTCTGAACGCAACCCACACCGGCCTTACACTCTGGTAGTCGCTCAAACATTCCGGAGTCTTTAAAGTCCGTGTAGTACTTTAGGTTGACCAGACCCTGGGCCCAGGCTGAGGACGCGATCAGCCAGAGGAGGGTTATCACCGCAGAGATCACAAAGTCCTGAAATGTCAAGGTCACAAATATACAAATCATAAATCAGCCAGAGGACAGTTATAACCACTGAGATTACAAAGTCCTGAAATTTCAAGGACACATGGATACTTACAGTACAGAAATCAATACTTGTACTGGAGAGAAGTGGAGGATCCAAAGATTTACAATGCTAGTAATTTACTTGCAAATATAATTGGGGGTAAAAATCTTTATTGTCAAAAAATCTCTCTTCATAAATCAAGTAGTAAGAATTACAAATAAAATCCATCACTCAATTTTTTTTTTTTATGATAATTCATGAAAGAGTTTTATAGGTGCACTTGAACTTTTCGATCACACTTTCAATAAAAACTAGAGTTTTTTTTTTAACTATTCACATCATCTTAAAAGTTCAGGTCTACAACTGTGCAAAGATCATCAGCACAGTTTTTCAAACACATTATGGAAAAGACATTTATAATATGCAACCATAAGTCCCCTATTTTGGAACCAGTATTTATGCTTCAGCAATATGCCATATTTTTCTTTTTGAGATGAACAAATATAACAGAACTCAGTTAGAGTTCAGTGTTTTTTTAAACATGCCATGCAGTCAACATGAGCGTAAGTAAACTAGTACTGGCTCAGGCCATTAATTGATTGTTACAGCAAGGATTTAGAAAATTTTAGGTCACTGTTTAGCATCAACTTTTACTATTTGAATTAGATTTTTTTTTATGATGACACTGTATATCAGAATTGATGAGAAAAATACTTAATAAAATAGATTGGATTTAATTGGTTAATCGAGTTTCTAGGCTAATTTTGCTGCACTTAAATCTTTTCCATAATTAATGCACAAAAAATTCATATTTTCAGTAATCAATGGTAATGGAAATTCTTGCAATCATACCACAATAGCCCAGACATTGCTTCTGCGATACAATTCCTCAAAGAACAGGTACACAACAAGAGCAGCCATACAGTACAAAAACACCATCACTCCGAAAAAGACGTAGAACTCCGCGGAAGATTTTGATCCCTCCAGTAAAAACACAGTCGTTACATTACTTCCATCACTGGATCTGTTGCAGAATGGGGTGGTGAAATATTCTTTCTCTAGGCTGAAACGAGGTAAAAAAAATGTAATTGAGTAACTAAAATATCTCCATTCAAAAACAGTCCAAATAAGTTTTATTATCATGAAGAACTATATATCATTGAGATGGTGGCCATCTCAAAGGGCCCCACTTTCAACAATGAACATGAAAATGTAAGGTAGTTTAAAAGGGTTTATTTAGAAGAGGAACATTTGTGTAATACAGTAAAAGTCATTTAGTACGACTTCATGGATATTGTGAATTTACAGATATATATCAAAGTTATCTTGTATTTATATAAATTTACTGGAATTAAAGGAAAAAATTTTTGCACCAAACAAAGACTTTAAACAGAGAGGCTAATTCTGACCATGACCTAGAAACTTTGACCAAGATCACTGCATATCCATTGACCAGTGGAAGTCTGTGAGTGAAGTAATAGCCAGACTGGGCCAAGGAGAGAGAAGATATAATGCTCCAGAAAGGAATTTTCATATAATTCTGCTATGACCTTGACCTTTGACCTAGAAACATGGTTCAAGGTCACTGCACATTGGTTACCCAAAGGCACTCTGTGGGTGAAGTATGAGCCAGATTGGGCCAAGGAGAGAGAAGATATGCTCCGGACAAGGATTTTTCATATAATTCTGCTATGACATTGACCTTTGACCTAGAAACATGGTTCAAGGTCATTACACACCAGCTACATAAAGGCACCCTGTGGGTGAAGTAAGAGCCAGATTAAGCCTAGGAGAGAGAAGATATGCTCCAGACAAGGATTTGTCATAAAATTCTGCTATGACCTTGACCTTTGACCAAGAAACATGATTCAAGGTCACTGCACACCAGCTATCCAAAGGCACTCTGTGGGTGAAGTATGAGCCAGACTGGGCCAAGGAGAGAGAAGATATGCTCCGGACAAGGATTTTTCATATAAATCTGCTATGACCTTGACCTTTGACCTAGAAATATGGTTCAAGGTCACTGAACACTGGTTACCCAAAGGCACTCTGTGGGTGAAGTATGAGCCAGATTGGGCTAAGGAGAGAGAAGATATGCTCCAGACAAGGATTTTTCATATAATTCTGCTATGACCTTGACCTTTGACCTAGAAACATGGTTTAAGGCCACTGCACACAAGCTACCCAAAGGCACTCTGTTGGTGAAGTATGAGTCAGATTGGTTTAAGGAGAGAGAAGATATGCTCCGGACAAGAGATCTCAGATGGACAGACAGACGGACAGCTAGACGGACGGACAGACTGATCACTATAGGGCGCCCGCCAAGCAGGGATCGGGTCAATTACTTTAAAAAGTAATTAATTAAATTACAATTACTTTGACTTTTTCTTCAATTAAATTACAATTAAATTACAGGCTTTCTAAGACATGTAATTAATTAAATTACAATTACTTTACAAAAGTAATTATTAATTAAATTACAAATTACATTTTTATTTTTTTGAAATGTTTTCATATGAATCATATGAGTATACAGAACAAGGATCATTCACCTGTATATATATATAAGAGCAGCTTCTGCATAAACAATACAAGAAATAATATGCTAGTAGGCATTGTGTATCTTTGTGGTTTAAATCACATTTTTTTATTTATAAAACAGTTTAGAACTGTTCAAGATCAGTTTGATGCAATTGCCTCCACACAAAACCTACATGTACACTAATTGCATGGGATATGATATTTGATTAAAAGGCCTTAAGGGGATATTTCAATAGAGTAAAAATAAGTCACAAATGTAACCCCTCAAATTAAATATTTCTTTTAAATAAAGGTAATCTTTTAAAGGTAAAATCCTAAATTGCTATTTATGTTGAACATTTTTACTTCATAAATAAAACAAATCCTTTTCAGATCTATACAAAATACATTCATAAAATTCTGTTTAAATGTTAAAATAATTATCAAATTGAAAGTTTTTTCTTTTCTCAAATTAGCAGAGCATTTTTAATTGAAATAATTATCCCCATGCATTGGCTTTGTCATCTAAATCAAGGAATGAATACCTCTTTAGAGGGGTTGATTTGTTTTGTTTGTAATTTACAGGTGTGATCTGGAGGGCAATTATCTCATAATACCAACAAGAGAGAACTTCATTAATGACACACACATTCCTTTTTTTTTCTTGACACACATATTCTTATTCTTCATTGAACAAACAAAAGAGATTGAAATATAATAAATTATGCATGTTTCATGCTGAATAGACCTAGAAATCGTGGTGCAAAATTCAGGTTAACATAAAACAAAGAAATCAAATTTTATAAAGTGATTAGAAAGAAACTACATTATTATTATTAAAAAAAATCTGTTTTCTGTATAATTGAAGGACTGAGGATATGTTTTGCAATAAAATATAGTATAATGGGGAGGTCGTGGTGACAATTTATCAAGCATGTATATTATATAAAGTAATTGAATGTAATTGAAAAAGTAATTGAAATTACATGGTATTTTTTCCGTGTAATTAATTACATTACAATTACAAGTAATTGAAAAAAATGTTCAATTACAAATTACTTCCAATACTTTTTAAAATGTAATCAATTACAGTCAACTACAATTACTTTTTTCAATTACCCCATCCCTGCCGCCAAGCGGAGCCCTAATTAAACTCGAGATTTACTGAAGAAAAAATCCTTTTGTTCTATATAAACTGATCTCATTCCATACTTTCAAAATATGTCACAAGCCAACTTTGAGGTTGCCTTTAGAATTTACTGTTTTATATCAATTAAGTATAAAATACAAGTTATTCCCTTCTTCAATTTAAATGTTAACTAAAGGGAAATAACACAGTTGTCACCCTGCATGCTTGATGCAAGGTCATTGTCAACGTGCAATGAAGGAGACATCACAAATTGTCTTAAATTCCTGCTTGCGACATGCTGTTAACCAACCAGATTGACTGTACTTCTCTGAAAGATACTATATACTGGATTATTTTCGCCCATTTTATTTTTGCCTTTTTGCACTTGCAAACAATTTTGCCTTATTTTAAATTTTCCCAGTCACAATTGTGTATAAGAAATCACAATGTTTTCTTTAAGTTTGCCCTGTTTTAAATTCACCCACCTGTTATTGGGGCAAAGGGGGGTAAAATAAAACAGGGGCAAAATTTTCCTTGAATATAGTACTAATATTGATTACATAACGTTCCCTGATACTAACTCAAAAGGATAGCTGATCTGTACAGATTCTATGATTGCTTTTCCACCTCCCGGACACTTATTAGCTGTGATCTGTAGATTGGTGTTCACACTGGTAGTAGTGGCAAACGCAAAGATGGCCAGTATCTACAAAATAAATAAAACATGAATAAGTACTAAGTAAATAAAACATACGTAAGAGAAGTAAAACACAGGTAAGTAAAGGTGATGAGGAAAAGGCCAGGTGTGGTTTACCTAAGCTTTACATGTATGTAATTTTAGTTAACCTCCCTATGTTCCTCATATGTTGGATATTATAGACACAGCACACACCTAAAAGTTTCTGTGAACCTTGATCTTGCTTGCTATTGTAAGTACAAGTAACAGTTACAGATAATCTGTACACACAGGCAATCAAAAAACAAAAATTACCATATGCAAAAATCTTACAAGATTGGTACTTATTCTGCCATCACATTCCTTGTTGCTTTCAATTGACATTAAATTAATTAATGTCAGGTGAAAGCAACACAAATACAAATATTTGGTTGCCCACAAACAAAACTACATGTATTCATATTTGCTAACATCTTCGCTAGCCAAGGGTTTCCGGAAATCTCCTATAAGGTTAGTAAATTATCGAAGATGATTTGCAAATGGGTCCAGGTGAGTAAATTTTAGCAACCCTGAATCACAAACATAACCCATCACACAGTATTGTGTACATTACAATAAATAACACAGGGCATTCATTTTAGGGATGTGCCATTTTATTGTTATGAAATCTATAGAATTTATTTTGTCAAGTCTTCAAAATTTCAAACATAGAACTTTTTTAATCGAATAATTGGGGGGACTTAACGTCATTGTAGGTGGAGAAAATTTACCAACCCCCAGGTCCAATATTGTGACCTACATGTGTACATACCGGTAATTTACAGATTGATTGAGTATGATTGACAAAACAATATGTTCTTTTAACTTACCAAATTCATTATTCTTAATGACAGCACAGTGACTATCATTCGACCAGACGCCCCATAATCCCAGTGAATTATCTTAACCTCCACATCCATACGTTTCCAGTCTTACAATATCATTGCATGCTTAAACCAAAATATATTCATGAATTCCATGAAAACTCCTTCCTGATTCCAGGAACAAATAAAAGAACAATCCATTTTCTCATTAAAAAGTAAGCAATATCACCTTCTTCCTTCAATAGTTAGGGATTACACTACACAGACTTATTTCTTTTATCATTCCAGAAATAGACTACTTATTTCCAACTTTCTTTCACATCCAGGCTAATACAAATTGCCAACTAATCACTTTTTCATTTTGCTTTTTTTGATTATACAATTGTCCAATGTTCTCCGACTTCACCAAATTATTAAAGCTTTCTCTCTGATACTGAAAACCTCTTCCTCCCAGCATTCTAATAATCCTTTATTCCATTCAATCTGACGTCTCCACAAGGAAATTGGCAGGAAATTTAGAACATTGTATTCACTTTGGGACAAATATCACCATAAGCATGATAAGACGTGCAAATTTTTTTGAATTTCAATTGCCTTCCTCTAAAAACTTCAAGTTATAAAACAAATCTCCCAGTTTGTGGTATTTTTCACCAGGTAATTACAAATTTCAAGTTAAGGAAATATTTTCCTTGACTATAAGTCCTTGTTTCATTACAAGGCAAAACAGAAATTGAAGACAGACAAAACACATGAAAGAATGTTTAGCTGAAACTTCCCAGAAGATAAAAGCTAATTCTTCCCACTCTTTTAACTAGAAATTATGACAGCAAATTACCATCCAAGTAAATGTACTATGTAAGGTTTCTGCTCCAATGATGAAATATTGACTGAATTCAGGAGCTGCCTGTAATTGTTTCTCGCAATCATTTCCTAGGGGCCCCTGACATTTCTAAACAGAATCACCTGATATGATATCAATTCAAACTTTATTGCAAAAAATAACATCTCTCTCCAAATCAATTGATCTACTTAGCTCATTTAATAATCAAAGTGTGGATTCCGTGAGTCAGATAGCTCCATGCTCTTATTGTCAAATCTCATGGAACAAGCTGAAGATTAATAATTCAGTTTATCGACATCTCCTAGCATCTTGTTAAAAAAATATTCTAAAACAATAGTTGCCAAGCTTTTCACCACAATTGGCTGGAGACAAAAACCAGATACTCCACAGCATGACCTAAAACTATAAAACCACAAAAATTTGTATTCCTCAAGGCCAAAGATTTATACTGACTCCAAGACTTCACCAATTTGCAACAATGACCAATTTGCTACAAATAATGGCTAGAAAATTTTCTGAAATAATGCTGAACTGTTATTAAGAAAGATATTCTAAGCCTATAGGTTATACAGAGTGTAGTTAAGAATTAAATGGATAATCAAATTAAAATGCATCACTTCCTAGGATGGCTGAAGCCTCAGCATCAGCACTCTAATGGAATATTATTCCCAAGGGGAATCGTCTTCCAACAGTGTCAAACTCAGAGTGATGGATGGGCGATTGTCTTCAAACTGATCATTTGACATTCCACTTAATGCAGCAGAGGCATTAACTAAGAAGATCCTGTTCATTCTCTCACAGGCTGCAGAGTATAATTATTTTCTCACTTGCCGTAAGATATGGCTCTTTCATTAATTGGTCTATAATATGATATTGTAAAAAGCAGAGAAGAAACACCAGGGATTCCAGAACAGAATAAAATTACAGTATAAGTGGAAATTTTAGTGAGACGCAAATTTAGCGATTTGACCTTAAAAATTGGTATTTTAATTTTAGCGAGATGTAATTTTAGCATTTTAAAAAGCTCACAAAAGAAGCTATTACAAATTTTAAAAAAAAAGGAGGCAATGGAAATTGATATTTTTCTTAATATTCTCAATTGATACCTTAAAGGGTCTGCACTTAGTGTGAAACTGTATTTACAGATAGATCATATGATGCTACATGTATACATGTACATCCTATCAATGCATGGCCATATTGCAAAAAGGATCTAATTTGATGAATTTTGTAAAAAGAGGCAATGGAAATTGATTTTTTCCTATTCTAAGTTGATAACTTTACCATGTTTAATCATTGTTATTATGAAAACAAAGTTTCTAGCACTCCATTGTCTGCTGTCCAAGGTTATAGATTCTGAAATAGTTTTAAAAAACACGAATCAAGAAGAACATTACTCAGAAATCATTGATAGGTGTTTGTACTCCATTGTGGGAATATTGGCTTCTAAACTTCAAAAGGATCTCTGGTGTGGCAAAATAGAATTTTCAGCTGATTGCATGAGCATTAACATTCTGTATAGGGCTGGGATTGACTTCCCTAGTTTAATCAAGTTTTTTTTTTCGTCAAAATTTTGTGGACCGTGTGGTGGTAACTGCATGATTCAAAGATACTAAACAAACTTCGTAGCATGTATACGTACTTAAAGGAAAAAGTGCATGTGCATCGGCTAATTGCCTGTTGCCCAATCCTTATTCAGAATTATTTGATAAAATACGTTTAAAGTATGCATTATGTTCTTTACTAATGTTGTTGTCAAGCTTCATCATGTTCATTAATCATGAATTTCTCTGTTTCGCAGTAAATACTAAATAACGCAAATTCCTCATAATAGGTTTGAAAATATGTATGAATATTTATTTCTTAACATCATGGAATTTTCTGCAATTATAGTGATGTCATATTCCAAATCAAACCTCAAATACTAATTAACTTGGGCTAGTTTGCCTTCACCATTTTCTAAAATTTCAGAGAAATCCGGGCAAAAATGAAATTTGTATGCAAGTAGGTCCTTATGTGGTGACAACCAAACAGATAAACGTATTGATAAAACTCTGCATATCCTTCCTTAAAATTTTTTTTGAAAGTCATAATTAGACAATCAACAAATGATCAAATGCAGGTAGGTCTGGAATTTATGGAAATTTCATAATTACCTTGTTTCCCCTTCCCTTCAAGTTTAATTTTAGCAACATAAAGCCCGTATCTTTCATCAACAAAGAGCCATGATTAGTGTCACAGTCTACGAAGCAAATGCTCAAGGCAGATCATATTTGAAGATTTTTCCGTATTGATTCAGCAAGGGTAACATTCTGCTGATAATGCCTTTCCTCTGAGAATCTAGATACTCTTAAATGGTCAATTACACAATATTGCTTGCAGTGGACTGATAGCCTGTTGTTTATCACCATGCAGAAAATTTTTTGGGACATAAAAGTATTTTTGACCAATATTCATCCTAATTTCTTTCCTTGGCAAGGTGATTCTGAATTGAAACAAACCCAGAGATCCACACAAAATCAATATATTAAATGTAGATTGACTTACTAAAATGTATGTGTTTCATCCATACAAAATATTTCAATAGATAAGAAACTGCTCTTTCTGAGACAATAATGATTAATCACAAGCTAATTCAAGATCTAATAGTCAATATTACAGATGTAGACTTGCACCCTATTTAACAAATGAGTATTGCCTGACACTTCTCTATAAACTTATTCTTAAATTCCCTGATGAAACAATCTGTGTGTATAGATGGTAAGATTCAAGATCAACTGACATAAAAAAAATTCCGTTTTTCGAAAGCTCCATAGGCCAAGGGTTTGTGATGAGAGTACAGTGGAACCAATTTGTTGGGATATGTGAAGCGTCTGGATACCTGAATTACAATTTCAAAAGACAAAATAACATTTTTTAAAAATCCATTCTGACGAAAAATTGTCCAGATAATGAAGCGTCACACATATCTGAAGGGCCACTGTAGCAAATTAGAAACCTTTGGCTAACAAAGATAACAGTAATATTGAATATTATTGTGTCAATATACTTAGTAATACCATTATTATAATTATATAAGAATTATGGGGACCAATCAATCTTAGCAGGATTACCTGAGTCTATGATTCATAAATTTTAGATGGATGACACCTAAGCAACAAATTTATAAAATGTTTTGTTTTCTTACCTTGATCTTACCTAAATCTAGTCATTTAAGAAAGATAAATACATGTATTGGTTTAAAATCAAAAAACGAGAAAAAAAAATCTCCACTAAAATGATGGGAGACCAAGGGTCTGTGAGCAGAGTAGCAGATCAGAAACCCTTAGCTAGCCAAGCTGCTCCCTTGTTTTAACTATGAATTTAGATATGATACACATTCAACATGTTCAAAGCAATATGAAATCATCATCATTATAACCTTCTCACAAACTGAGGATTCTTTTTATTACAAAATAATGTCATTTTAATATTTGTCTCACATCACACAGCTGAACTGAGCGGATCAAACTTGTCATACTACGGGCCCAATCAATATCCTCCACTGCTGTGGGACTTTTCCATCATTACAGACTGATGTTTTCTAATGACCCCTAATTGTTTTATCTAGAGAGGCAACTCTGTACATCTGTGAACAATCACTTATGTGTCTAACATTTTCAGAGAGTATTTAATTATGGATGATATTTTTACTTAGGGCAGTAAAGTGCACACAATCTTGTACAGTAATTGTGTGAAGTGTTACTCTCTCTCTCTTAGTGTAGTTTATACACTATATACAATGACAATAGAGAAACATACCAATTTGTAGCGATCAATAGTGTTTTAGGTGCACATTTCTATACTATCAGTAGTTTCAATGAATGCAGAATTGCAGTGGTATAATTATTCAAATTTGAAATAAATAATTCTTCAAAATGTATTCTGTATGCTTAGAATTCTACCAAAAGCACATGATAAACATTCATTCATCAAAAAGATTTAAATAATTTATAGGCAGATTATAAATATATAAATGTTTAGATTTACATTTTTTCTGTTCATACCTGAAAAAAAAAAGATTTCTTGTAGCTGTTAATAAAATTTGCAATTATATTTTCTCCATTAAACTACCTGGTGCAAGAATATCAAAAAAGAGAAATTTACCATCCATTTTTTTTTTATCTCCCCCTCTTACCATGCTTACATATATAAATACATTATATTAATGTAATACTATGTAAATTAAACTTTATACCCGTTCATCCAAACAACAAGAAAAGAGCAAATTTATTACATGTACTGGACATAGAATCAAAACAGGGACCTACCCTCACCCTGCAAAACTAGTCAAGAAGTGCACCTAAAAATCATTGCCACCAAAGGTAGGAAAGAAAGTTTTAATGGAGAAACTGAGAATTGAACCTAAGTCCCCTTTGTTACTTTTTAGGTTTTTTAGCAACCCCTGAGCTATTTTTAAGTTTGATATTGATCCATGATCCATAGCCCAACCCCCTTTATACATCTCAATTTGTATCTGCAATAATTTATATGTGCGAGTCTGAATGTAATAATGCAATAATCATAATTATGAGTTAAAGATTTATCAGACTTCTATTATTTTTCTTTGTATAATAAATGACTATACATACCCATTGTATGACCTTGATGAAACCCTTGGGTTCTTTCAGAGGTTCTATACTAAAGTTGCTTGTACACTGAAACAAATTAGAATCTGTTCTATAGTCATTGAAATAAACAAATATCAAGTTTTAATCGATCTTTTCACAATATCTATATCAAAACAAAACTTGTTTCTTTTTACTAATATGCATTATATCATTCCCAATATTCACTATATTTAGGCATGATAAAAAATTACAATTGGAATCTGGCTGTCAATATTTGACATCCATACACAATTTTAACTTCCATAAGCTGTATATACATGTTCTCATAAAACCTTATAAAGAGCTCTCTTTTCTAAAAATATTTATGTATATAATAGCAGTTTATAATAAATTAAGTTAAATATACTCTGACATTTGATAGTTTCAAATGAAATATATAGGGAAAATACAACAAAAAAGCATTTAAAGGTGGTCCCTAAAATAACATCAATTACTGAATAGAAGAAGTTTGATAAATCATTTCTCAGTTTAAAAGGTAGTATTTTTTCAAAATTTTATGGTTTATATCATCTTTTACATATCAAATTCTATATTTTATTGTTATTTATGAATAATTTATTTTTACTCTCGCTCTCGAGACTTTGAACTCTCCCGAGCGAGCTTTCACTACGCTACAAAGTATATACACTATTCCTATTTAACATGTTTAATTTTTGTAATTTCAAATCGAGGCTTACCGAGAATTAGGTATGGATTTTCATTGGCTGATACATTCTCTTCGATGCTAAGATCTGTATTCTTTAAAAAGTCATAGGCCGCGCCTTTACTTTTATCTGGTTTTATAATAAAATACCTTTGTCTGCTTTACAAGGAACAAAAAACGCACATATCTTTGTTTAAAAAGTAAATTCTCATGTATTTTCATGGGAGTCGCCATCTTGTTAGTCGGTTTAGCGATCATAAAACTTATAAACTGGTTACAAAAATTAAATATATATCAGACATTTGACTCAAATGAAATACTCGGGCAAAATACAACAAAAAAGCATTGAAGTCTGGGGTAAACGAGACTAATCAGAAGGATGATCAATTACAAAGCGATGCACTACTTGTTTAACTTTAGTTGTTGATATTTAAAGAGTTATCTTTCTTTTACTCCAAAACTAGATTCAACATGTAAAAATATTAACTAATCAGTGTTTAGTATTAAAAATTATATACATTCTGAGTGTCAGATCAATATTTTGACCTTTAATATACTTTCTCTGCACATAAAATAGAATATGATGTTATGAGTTTTTTTTTTTACTGGTCTAATTTTTATATTGGTAATGTATATACATTTAAAGTATATCATCCACTCAGTCTCCGCATTCTTAGAGAGTTACTGAGATTCTAGTTCTCCTACATGCCCTATTTCTGTCAGCTTTGCCTCGTAAAAATAGCCTAATTTCCTTTTTTTTTTTTTGCTGTGTCCCCAGACGAATACTTTAACTGCATGTATATAGTCTGACATATTTTAGAAGTACTTCAGGATTCAGTTAGAGAAGTGAAAGCCAGGATAAAAACAGGAACAGAAAATTGTGATCTGGTTGGGATAGCCTGCCAAGAGAGCGACCAATGTCTCTTCTGTACAAAAAAATATAAGGACTTGCTTTTGCCTGGTTTTTAGCTATTTGTTTTGAATGTAACTATAAGATCTTCCCCATGGCTACTTTCACTTCCATGTTCATTTTCCGGAATGTCGATAAAGTAAAATCTCTCTGATTGGTCAAAATTTAAATGAAAATTTTTATAAGAAAGGTCACCATGAGATGATCCTGAATGAGGTTTCTCAACATCCTTGTGTAGCAATCTTAATGAGAGCAGATCAAAGGACCTGATTTTAATCAGATTGGGAGTCTTTGTTTGATAAGAAATTAACTATTGTATATACTCCCAAGACTTAAAGAATTTTGATTGCAAAATTTGCAGTAAAATCTTCATGTAGATACATCTTCAAGAATGATGTTTTCATGAATGGTTTTCAGATCATGAATTCAAAGTTGAATTTATCAGTCAGGGGTGGTACTGAAATCAGTCATTTTTGAAAATGATGGATAATGGTCATTTCTTCTAAGTATATAATGTACACAATTTTCTGATTTTTGTAAATATGACGTCTTTTCATCATATTTCCATTCTCAAGTCAATTTTCCCATCCCATTTACTACAGTAATTAGATATAGTACACTATCCTGCCATAGACCCTTGTGTAGAGAAACATCTTGACAAGTAATTGAAACCAAAATAATTTTTTTCAGTGCGCCCCGTAAAACTAATGGAAAAAATAAATAAAAATATGCAAATCAAAAAAGACCAATTTTAACAATTTGATAAAAAATGATGAACTCCAGTCATTTTTAATGTCAGAGGTTACTCTATTTCCAAAATAAATTTCAAAATAGAAATGACTGTTTTGATCATTTTACTAAAAAATGATGAATTTCCATCATTATTAAAAATCAATTTAATGACTGAAAATCATCATTTTTAAAAATGATGGATTTCAATCACACCCCTGACTGTTTATCAGTGCACCTCAGTGAAATTTCTGACCATTCTGAAGAAGAAAAAAAACTTCCAACCTCAGAAATAAATTTGATTCAGGAGGTAAATAAAGCTGCTTCAGGTAAGTAAATAAAGTTATGTATGTGGACCTGTGTAGTAATGGTTCTATCACTGATTGACTGCATCTTTCTTGGTCACAACGTGTTCGTGTTGTAAACAGGTAAAGTATGTGTACTGGTGACCAGAACAAGACGGAGTAACTTAAATGAAATATTTATATTGTAAAGACAGTTCTTTTTTCTGATAAATTGAAGCCTTACACACATGAGTCAGAATCATAAATAGTAATTTTGAAATCGGCTAGGCTGAAGTCTTATGACAAGTTACCCGGTTTAAGGAAATTTCCCTTTTAAAAATAACCGCAAAAGATTGTTCTTGGTTAAAATACTTGCTTAAGTTTTGTCTGCACCAAGAAACATAAAAAATTTCAACAAGACGGTAAAAAATCAGCAATTTTTACCTTTGTAACAGCATCCATTTTCAGTTTTCGATCTGTTCCCGAGTGTTCGGCATAAGGTCAAGGTCAACTAGATTTAGTGAGCCGTTCATAGAATGATTCGTGCGAAGAAAAGTGTAATTCATTAACATTTTATATTTGAAATTTTGTTAAAATTGCTGATCAATTTGATGCCGATTAAGTATAAAAAATAGAAATATAATAGCATTAGTTAAGAAAATGCGAGGAAGGCGTTTGTGTGTGTGTGTGTGTGGGGGGGGGGGGGGGGGGGGGCTCCTCGGTGCAATGTACAAAATTAACAAATTAAATGAAAAAGAAACGTTTAAACCTTTTTTAGCTCACCTAAGCCTAAGGCTCAAGTGAGCTTTTCTGACCAAAATTTATCCGTTGTCTTTCGTCGTCGTCGTTGTTGTTGTTAACTTATCACGTTTTGGACTTCTTCTCTAGAACCACTGGGCCAATTTCAACCAAACTTGGCACAAAGTATCCTTCGGTGAAGGAGATTCAATTTGTTCAAATGAAGGGCCACGCCCTTATTCAAGGGGAGATAATTCAGAAATAGTGAAAATTTGATGCTATGATTTAACAATCTTCTTTTCAAGAACCACTGTGCCAGGAAAGATGAAACTTATGGTGAAGTTTCCTCAGGTAGCAAAGATTCAAGTTTGTTCAAATCATGACCCCCGAGGGTAGGATGGGGCCAAAATGGCTGATCAAAATTTTACATAGGTGTAGACAGGGAAATCTTTAAAAATCGTCTTCTCAAGTACTTCAAAGCCATGATTAGTGATTATATATGGAATCATTCTCAGGTAGTATAGATTCTGGTTTGTTCAAATTATAACCCCCAGGGATAGGGTGGGGTCACAATGGAGGATCCAAGTTTTACATTAAATATATTACATAGAAAATATAGAAAAATTCTTCAAAAATCTCCTTCTCAAGAACCACTGTGCCAGAAAAGTTGAAACTTATAGGGAAGCATCCTCATGCAGGTAGTGTAGATTCAGGTTTGTTCAAATCATGACCCCTGGGGGTAGGGCGGGGCCACAATGGCCGATCAAAGTTTTACATAGAAATAAATAGGAAAATTCTTTAAAAATCTTCTTCTCTGGAATAGCAAAGGCATGAATGATCATATTTTTATGGAAGCATCCTCAGATAGTGGACATTTAAATTTGTTCAAATCATGACCCCTGGGTGTAAGGGTGGGGCCACAACATGGAATCCAAGTTTTACATTGAAACATTTAGAAAAAAATCTTTAAGAATCTTCTCAAGAGTAGCAAAGCCATGATAAGCCCTATTCATAGTGTAGATTCAATTTTGCTTTAGTCATGACCCCTAGGTGTAGGGCGGGGCCACAATGTAAGTTCAAATGTAAAGGCCAATAAAGCCACAGGTACATGTAGTCAAAGAAATATGCATGCATCCTTAGTTAGTGTAGATTCAAGTTTGTTCAAATCATACCCTCTCCCTTTTAAGGATTGTTTGGAACCACTTTTGGGTTTTAACTTTTCAATAATAAACTACATGTAATTGATGCTTTTTTCCTAGCTATATTGCTCAGGTGAGCGATGTGGCCCATGAGCCTCTTGTTTTATTAACTGGTATAAATCCAACAACATTCCCTTTTTTTCGTGCACAACTGATATTTTCTAAGATTTTTTTTTAATTTTATATTGTCTGTTACTGTCATTTATTGATGCCATAATGTTATGTTCAGTCTTTCTTAATCAGTTTTATTATAAATTAGTCAGGAATATACACTGCATTGATGTTAACATACCAGTCAGTGTGTCTCAAGTTATATATATCTGCTTTCTTCCTCCGGCAGGAAGCGAGAATGGTAGTGAATCCAAGGATATCAGTGAATTTAATCAGTTTTCAAGTATTTAAAACTTGTTCCTCGTTTTAAACTTGTATTTTTGCGTGAAGTTAGTGAAAAACTGAATTTATATACATGTATTTATTTCCTTGAGTTTCATTGAGAAAACTGTAAAACTGTACATGTTTTGTATGTAAGAAAAATAGAGACTCAATGTCCACAATATTAATAAGATAAATTAAATATGCAAAGCATTTACATTAATTTATATTATATAATTTCATAATTACATTAAAGTTAGCATTTAAACATATTAAACATATGGTTTCAAAAGCATGTGCCATTCCTGACCAAGAGTATGTCTGTTAGGCAATACATTTCTCATTATTTTTATTCTGCGTTTCAGGATATAAAAAAATTTAGGAGAAATTCACAAAATGTTGAATTTCTTGGAAACTTTGTCCTTGCTTGAAAAAAAATCAACATTGAATTTGGGACTTCGATTAATGGGCTCCAATGTTTGTTTGTTTTTTTTTTTTTTTTTTTTTTGTTTTTTTTTTGTTTTTTTTTTTTTTTTTTTTTTTTTTTTGTTTGTTTTTTTTTTGTTTTTGTTTTTTTTTTTTTTTTTTTTTTTTTTTTTTTTGTTTTTTTTTTTTGTTTTTTTGGTAATCCACAAAATTGAACGATGTGTAGTTTTATTTCTACTGGGTGTAACATTTTAGTCAATCAATATACGATCATCAAGTTTGGTAGATTTTATTGATGAATATGTTTATAATAATTAATAAATATAAAGACTCGGGGAAAAAATTCATATAAACACGAAGGTTAAGTGTTGATTTTTATCCCGCTACGGTAAAAACAAAATGTAAAACCTAAAACGAAGAAAGAGAATTGATATAATACGAACTGGGGAAGTACCGAGTATACTTACATGTATGTTGTCAATGTAAATTTACTGGGTTTATTATTGAGAGAGTTGGTTGCTTGGTTTATGACACTGTCATTTTTCATCGTTTGTTTTTTTTTTCTATTTTTCTCACGCATGCTGTATTGTGTTGTACCTATTTCATGTTTGTATTTTCTCTATACTGTAGTACAATTTAAGAGAATAAACTATTGTATTGAATTAAATGACTTTCCTACGCGTTTTCCAGGTTCATGATTGTGTGCTTATAGAAATGAAAATAAACTAGATGATCTTATTGACATACACCCTAAAACTAAACATAGTTGAAATACATGTACTGTAAAAACAGTGTCTTAGATATATACTCTGCAAGTGTTCAAAGTTACAGAGAAAGTGTATACGTTTCCAAATTCTTGATGTTTCTTAAATTCTTTGGATTACATTCTTTGTATATTCACACCCACAAATATCACTCAGAATTTAATAGAGAGCCAATAAAAAGTTTTTTAAATATGAAATTCATCTCACACACAATAGAATGAAAAAAAGGATTTAATGAAAATCCAACATGAAATAATGAAATGATAACTACATTGTTCCTGTTGAGAAATGAAATTCATACAGTCATGTATAATATACACTTAAAGTGTATGCAATGTACTTTATAGAAAAATCAAAATTATTTAAATCCTGCTTAATAAGAACTTTCTGATGCAATCCTTACAGGCACGTAGCAACAGGGGGGGAGGGGGAGGGGGCGGCTGGCCCCTCACTTTTCTTCCCAACCTTACTTATACTATAGGAAATGTTCATTGAAAGGTAGGTTGGCTCCCCAACTTTCTATGTTAAGGAAAATGTGAAAAATTGGTACTGGCAGAAGTTAGTATTGAAAAAAGTTGGCCTCTAACCCACCCACCCACGAAATATGATTTTCGACTTTGGGAAACTTTCATTTTTTTTTTATTTTTTGGCTTGTCAACTTTTTCAGGTAAGTAAAAAAAATTCTCTGGCTGGCCCCCACTTTCAAAATCGATGCTACGTGGCTGCTTTAATGTTGTCTCTCTTGGAATACACGATCAAGAAAAGAAAACCTGATTTTCTACATCTCAGTTGATTTCTTTTAATTGAAGCATCCATTTTAATGCGAAATAAACAGATACATTGTCAAACAAGCATAAACTGATAAGAAAATAAATAGAAACAATCTATCGAGAACGCGAGCGAGTTCTTCCCATTCCTTTCTCAAAGCATCAGAACGCTGTTCCTTTTGGAGACGGTTATCGTTTTCCTGGGTTATACTTTTCAGAACCATCTGCAGCATTTCTTGGAGTAAGACAATGTCCACTTTTCTATCTGAATTGTCTTCGTCAACTTGATTATCGTGTGCTTCCTTGAACAGTCGCTTTAGAGAACTCTCTTCCTTTAAGCATATTTTGTAACCCTGCTAAAAAATAAAGTTTGTTACGGGCTTGACTCATAACTAAACTTTTTGGTGCGAATACGAATCTTAAATATATCCAAAATTCTATAAAAGTTAAAAAGTATATATATCGCTGAAGAAGAATGTGCATTATGTATTTATAATGAGGTTAGACGAACCAAATAATTGATATCGTCAAATTGACAATTTACAGTTTCTTGTCATATTACCTGGGCACCTGGATTCTTTCGTTTTATGGTTTTGTTGAAAGGAACCGAAACAAAGAGAATACGTGAGAGAGATCCGAAGAAGATTCTTTTTAAAATGGCTGGAACCTCTCTGCCCGTATCCCCATAATGGTAAATGTTCATAGTCAGTGCATTGATACTTGTAGAAAGGGAGATAAGGAGGATCGATATTCCGTAATATAAACCTGAAGTGTCATTATAAAACTATTTCAAGAATGTTAATACAACGTTTCATGTCAAAAATAATATAAGATTTTTTTGTTTGTATTTCAGATTGACATAAATAACCTATATTATATTTAACCCTTTAACACTCTGTTCTTGTTTTTTTTTTTTTTTTGGCTCAAAGACAGTAAAAGAATTGATTGCAGTTTTAGACTTACTAATGAGAGGGACTGCATCAGACACGGGAGGGAGGCGGTCGGCAACAACCATTTGTAGAACGACCATCGACAACAATGTAGTAATTCCTATGGATATTTTCTCCTCCGATCCGTGGATAAAAAAGCCAAGTAGTGATATGATGGTAAGTAAAATAGTCGGCATCAAAATATTAAACAGGTAATATAGCGGTTTACGTTTGATTACTATCTTGTACCTTACATAAAGGAATGGGTCTGACCAGGCAGCATAAAACGATGAGTAGTTGTGAGTAGAATATTCCACAAAGTCGAACTCCGAATTAGGATTATAAAAGTCAAGGTGGGCATCTTGATTCACTGGAATAACATTAATGTAACTATTGTCAAAAGACCAAGATCCAAAATCAAGGAAGCATGTCTGCACATCAAAAGGAAAATATTGAATATCCATAGTACACGTGCTTTTAAAAATCCATTGTGACCACCACAAAACCTGTCCTTGTGAGCTGATAGGGATATTCGTACTGATTGAAGATTTCATGCTTGAATCAATCCTGGAAATAAAGTGAAACAAGGTGTTAACGAACAGTGAAGCACAAAATTCAAATTGTGAGCAAAGCTAAGGTGGACCTCTGAAAGCAAAGGAGGTTGGACCACTTGCCATGATAGAGTATTTGTGTTATTTTCAAGAATATAAAATACGAGAATCATAGAAAAAAGATTAGCTATTAAAGTTCATGAAACAATCATCAAAATTAATTTTGAAATGTGAAATGAAATATTGCATGAAACTTAAAATAATTTAATTGAAAGACATTTACGAGTTATGTAGAATGATATCCGCTTTCCACACTTGATCATATGGAAGATGAATAAGGGTAATGTTATCATATTTAATCGGATCCCAACAAAGTTTTGGATCTGTCCAGTTCTGTAAAAGAATATTGAGTATATCAAATATAATGTAATTTCAAATTTCTGGTATACGCCATTGCTTTATTACAATCATGGTAGTTTAATTCTTATCCAATTTGTTTTTTTTTTCAGAAAGCCTCTGCATGTACATTGTACACGATTTATGCAACTTTTTTTTTCAAATCAAATGATTTTGTGAAGTACTATGATTAATCAAACAATAAAATTTTGTATGTTTTTTAAAGCATAATGTAATATTACTTATACACCTGTATAGTGAATCAAAGAAATAACACATAACACTTTGGCCAATTTACCCTTACCTCCATCGCTTTATAACACGACACCGTTATCTGTTTAAAACTTCTTCCTGGCATATTTCCCTCTTCATTTTTTTAATGGTAATTTTTTTCTCACTTTTAAACGTCAATTATTAATATTTCGGAAATTAGATGTTGCATTACTTTTATGATCGACAGTATAATTCATTTCTTTTCAAAATTGTCCTGTGTCTTATTTTAGTTTATTGAAATAAATGCATAAAATACTCCCCATTTGGAGCCACGCACTGGTAGTTAGCAACTGGTTTCGTTCGTCCTGTATTAAAAATTAAAAAAAGTTACATAAGGGATGAAATAAATACATTCTTTTTTCATGAAGGATTTTAGTCAAGGGAAGAAAATGTTGCAGATAGGATTCTTTTTAAATTCTAACGAAAAGTATTGAAGTAGTATTGTCTTAAAACGTGTAAGGCTTTCTAGGGCCCATCTTGTCATAGGATGCTAATACGGTTTGTGTTAAGCATTCTACAGTTTTGTTAATATATGTATGGTTATAAATATATACAGTGTATTCTAAGTATAGGAAGAGAATGCATTGGGTTTGATTTGGATACTTAGATTCTCAAAAATGAATGACAAAAATCCCTGATTCCCCTCTCTTTCTTTAGATTCTATGTACTTTTAAACATACGGCATTGTACAATGTCAAAAAAGATTTACTGATTGATAGTATATTATTTAACGTTTCTCTCGAGAATTTTCACTCATACGGAGACGCCACCACTTGCCGGTGGAGATCTATAAATTTTGTCCTGAACTCGGCACACAGGGCCATCGAGCAGTTAGGGATCTTTTTCGTGCCAACACCTACTGCGGCCTGGGACCTCGGTTTAGACGGTCTCATCCGAAGGACCGGTCTCCGGGGATTCGAACCCGCGACGTAAGGAACAACTCCTTACTTCGCGTTGCCCGTGTGGCGCAGTGGTAGGAGCGTCTTCTCTAGAGTCGCAGAGTAAGGATCTGATGGCGGGTTGAAATCTAACTGCGGAATGTCGAGTCCAGTCCTTTGGATGAGACCGTATAAACCGAGGTCCCATGTTGCACGGAAAAATCCCTCACTGCTCAAGGTCGAGCATAGGTCAAAATTTTGCAGCTCTCCATCAGCAATCAGCCATATGGTGTTTATTTCTCGTGAGAGACTTTAAACAACGAAGATACTAATAAAATAAAAAAGCAACATTTCTCTAGAGGGACGTCAGGCAACGAACGAGCGAACAAACAAACGTTGTTACTCTACCACGTCTATAATCCCAGTGAGAGTAACTGTCAGCAGCACGTCTAAGCGGTCCCTGTGGTTGTTGGAGGGTCGAATGTGTTTGCTGTAGTTCCTCATTAGATCTCTTTCTAACCGTATTTCATTCTCGTCACAGAAAAAAAAACTGAAAACTGTAATTAAGAAAATCAATGTAAAGATTACGATATCGTACTTATGATAAAAAATTTAAGTGCATGTATGATAAAAAAACAGAAACTGATTTAAAACAAAAACACGGCTTTTGGTAACATTCAAGTTCTGTTGTACTGCATTGATGTAATCAGACTTCTGTATTGGAGTTAAGTATGCATTATACATCAAAGAAAAATGAAAAAATAATAATAACTAAAATTTATTTTCAGTATTATTATTTTTTTTAAATATTCCCAATCTTTATTAGGACTGATGAGACGACAACTAAAATGAATAACTAACATAATGTTTTGCCTATTTGCACACTTTTTGCAATGAATCAATTTAGTGACCTCTTAAAACATTGTTTAAACATAATACAATGTACGTTTAAGGCTGAGAACAAACGACACTTAATACATGATAAAACTTACCGATGGCGAGGAGGAAGGTTTTGAGTAACGTCATGGTTCTGTGATTAAAAAAAACAAAATAAAAAAAGGATTTATGCACATACCCAGTTAGTCTGAATTTGATATAAAAATAATATTTAATTGCAAAATGAATTAAACGTTTAACTTACTTAGAATATTAAAGTATTTGATTCAATTTACAAGTACATTATAATTATTAAATGGATACGAACTATTCACGGTAGCTCAGTCGGTAGAGCGCCCGCTCCGTGATCGGGAGGTCGTGAGTTCAAATGTCGACCGAGACTGACCTAAATCGATAAAAAATGGGTAACAACTGTACTGTTCTTTCGCCATGCGCTTGGCACTTTGGAGTGAAAGTTGCGGATTGCCCTTCGGATGAGGCCTTAAAAACTTAGGCCCCATGTCACGGCAAGTGATCCCTCACTGCCTGCTCAATTGCCCTGAGTGGCCGGTCAAGGTCAAGATTTGAAACCCTTCAACGGTATAAGGTGATACCTCTATATGAGTGAAACATTCTCGATTGGGACGTTAAACAACAAAGAAAGAAACAAACAATCAATTAATCATTAAATGGATACGGGTTTTTATGAAACAAAATATATATACTTATAAAACTATCCTTAGTTGTTACATAGTTACATATATTTACATCCACTGAATATTTTCTCCTTTATTTCTTAAGAAAACCCATTGCGGTAATCACTGCATGAACTACATTAGGCATGTCGCCTGTACAGATTTCTTGATCAGTGGCTGTTCCATCAATGAAACGTATAAAGACGTTCGCATCATTAATACAATAAATAAACTTTTTAATCCTTCTTTAAACAGTTAAATGATTATTTAAACAGATATAAATATAAACAATAAAATGTCTTTCTTTCTTTGTTATTACTTACGCGGGTTATGTATTTTTTCTGCAACACCTGCTTTCGTTAATTCCAGTAATAAAAAACAAAGAAAGCATTTTATTGTTTAAGTACCTAACAGCATGAAAACTATTCCTATAGATATGTGTTCGTGGTAAGTTTGGTAAAAAAATTATTGCACTTACACTTATGGAAATCCAAATGATAATGAAAATCCTTTATTTTACCCTACCTCCAATAACACATTGAAAGACACTGAACATGCTGAACATTTACAAAATTAAACGACCTGACATGCAAGTGACTGTGTCGTAGTCATTAAGCATTGGTTTCTAATCTCAATTAATTATCACTGTAGAAATATCTTTGTTCATTTTATATTGGTAAACGATACGGAAAACAAGCATACATTTCTTGTTTGTTTTTCCAATCCAACATGGAATTCATTATCTAAATGACTTCTCCGAACCTCGGAAATATTTCCCCTGAGGAAAACAGAATAATCACTCTGCCTTTGCCAACAATATTGGCGACTTGCTTTGTTTCTGTTGATATCTAAAATGTGTTACTGGTTTGTATACGTGACTTCTGGTGCTTTTAGCATATTTTTGCAGAGAATTATTTATAATAAAACGTCACCTATATCAAAGCTTCTTGTTCAATTAATTATAAAAATATGAGACTCATCAATATTTATACACTTTAATCCAAATGAATAGTACAGACTGAAACAGTTAAATGCATTGCACAACGCAGTAATACGCGCAATTAATGTCTTTAATGATGGTACTCTTTTATAACTTTATTTAATACCTTTCTTACGGTAGTTTTTATCATTTCAATGTAGATAGTTGATGACCCTTGTTGTAAAATGGTTGGAAAACGGAAGGAGGATATGGGGAAGAAATTGTATTAATTTTCTGAAAAAATCTGATCGTTTAGTTATGTAGATTTTTAACTGAATATGGGGAGGTTTTATAAGGTAACTTATGAGACAATTTTTATGGCAGAGGAAGACTTTATAAATTGCATAGTCAAAGATAAAGCAAAACCTAATTGACCTGTGGCTGTAAAAAGTCAGGGTGCTCTATAATAATTACATGTGATGGACGATACGCGATTCATGATATTTGCCAAAGCTCTCTGTATATCGGTAGCGGGTGCAGTACATTTGAAAGTACGAAAATTATCTGCCAGATGAATACCGCATATATTTCACGACAGATGACCAGAAAGTATTAACTACTTAAAATGTTTCATAAATTAAAGGACAATTTGCAAACGCAAATGATACAGGAAAGGAAACATGGCCATTGGTTCCCTATTTCGAGCAATGAACTAAAATTAGAAACAAAATATGTCTTCCCGGATACAGTAGGAATTTACTCAGTAGTTGCCAAAAACATATTAAGCAGAAAGAAGATTCTTTATTGCATATTCTTCTTATGTAATGGTATAGAGGTACAAATTTCGATGTCAAAGGGCATTAGTGTTACAGTTGACTATTGCAGGCATTAAGGTGCAATATTTAAAAAAAAAAAAAAATCAAGAAATAAATAAGAAATAAGAAAAAAATATATTATCATGAACGAGGACTAATATGCCAGGGTTTTAAACATGTTCGTCTACTTCACCGAATAAATCGAAGCTTGAAGTTCTATCCTTGAAATAGAAAACAGTTATAATTTTATGTATCGAATCACTAAGAGAAATAGAATCTAGATAAAGTGATAATTTAATATTGATACATGTACATAGATAAGTAAAGAAGTTATAATTCGAGAAATAAAAGTCATCATGCACGTTTATTATAAAATTGTGGCATTAAGTTACCATGAAATGCTTCTAGAAGTGAAAAAATGCTTAGAATTACAACAAATTACAATAGATTTATTTCGTATATAGAAATCAGTTCGAAATTTCTTTTGAAGCCATATATTTTTCACGTAATACATTATTTGGGTCTAAAACTCAAAAACATTCATTTATACAATGTAAAATGGCGTGCATTATAGTGAAATGTAATATATGTAATCTTCGGGAACTCGAAGTTTCTTTGTATTTTCAGGTATTTTTGTCGTATTTATTGATAATAAAGACGTATGTAAAAAAAAACTGGCAAGCTCATCTGCAAATCATAATAAACTGCTTGTATGTGTTTCGTTACATTACTTTGAAGTTTTTAATTGGTGCTGATTGTACGTTTTTTTAGGATTTTATTATACCTGTCTACCAGTGTGGTATCCTTGATATTCATATCAGCAAATGTAGATTTCTTATACAAGAAATGATGCACTTTTTAATGAAGTAAGGCACTCAGACTGATCAGTGTTTTATTTTTATATGATTTGAATTAAGGACAATATCTTAATACACTTATCTAAAAGTTTAAAATACATACATTCAATTATATTTTCCCCCTGTATCTGCATGTAGAAAATTCAACTTAAAGTAATCTGGCATTTATTGTACAAAAAGTATGAGAAGATAATTTGCATTTTATAAAGCTTAATCAAGATGTTCTTATTTATCAAATTAATTCATGGGGGTTCATAACTAGTGTATGTATGTACATGTATGTTTCCTGTTGGAATGAAAGATATGGAGTATATATGCTTTTATACAAGTAAAATTGCAACAATATGTACAATTGATATTACTCGAAAAATATGTTGAACAAACGTTACAATTTTACCTGTATAGATAATGCCAATATTAGAGTGTTTTTTTCTAAATTAAGAAATTACCTAAGACCTTTTTTTTTTTACTTTACAACAGTTACTTTAATTATGGTGTTACTTAAATTCTGTAGAAACCTAATTTTAATACAGTTGTTTTCAAACAGAGCAAATATTTTCAGGACTATTTTTTTGATTCAAGATGCACTGAATAGGAAAATAATATACATTTCAATGTTTTATGTTTATCCCTAGGGACCCGAAATACTTACAATCTCAGTTTCTCTTTCTTCTCAAAAAATAAAATCTAAATGAAATGTACTTGGACAGGCAGAAATCAAATTTCACGTTCTATCTTCTTGAAATTAATCAAACGAATGGGCGTTTTGTTATATCTGATATTCAAAAATTACCCATGTAGATATAAGAAAGCACCTACCTGCCCTGTCGTACCTCTACCAAATAAAATACACTAGAATAATGATCTGCATATGCTGCGATAATGTCTCCCATACATATAAAACACACACACTCTGATACAACATTGCCATTTTACTTACCTAATCTATTTATTTATGTATACATTTGAATCATTTTCTGGAATTGTATTGAAAAACCTTTAAAAAAATTAAACTTAATGTAACTTGTATTTACTTCATATGTAAAATTGTATAATGATTGATTGATTAATATTGTTTAACGTCCCTCTCGATAATTTTTCAACCATATATATGGAGACGCCATCACTTGTCGGTTGAGAGCTGCAAATTCTGTCCTTTACTCGGCACTCAAGGCCATTGAGCAGGGAGGGATCTTTTTCGTGCCAGCACCTACTGCGACAGGGGACCTCGGTTTATACGGTCTCATCCGAAGAACCGGTCTCCACGTCCCACAGTGGGATTCGAACCCGCGACGTAAGGATTGACTACTAACTATACGACTCTAGAGCAGACGCTCTAACCACTGCGCCACGCGGGCGAAGTAAAAGAGTACAAAAGGTGAAGATAAAGAACAGTGAGTTATCTCAAAATAAAAAACTGTACACAATACAATGCGAAGGATCTAAACCACGAACCTCTGGAAATTCCAGGAATGAGATCAGGTGCCATACTTGACATAAAGTTTAAATGTACGTGTACATAAAAACATGTTTGTGGACATTTCCCAGTAAGACACGTATATTGAATAAAATACAAAAATGTCCTAAGATCAAAGTTCAGAGCTATAGTTAAATATATATGCCAAAATAAAATTATCATCCATCATTAGGATAAATGTTGATTTCAATAAATTTAAATAATGAACCTCCAAATTATGTATTATTATTTTGAATGTTAAACTGCTCTTTGCCCTACATTGCAATGATGGAAATGTCTCATTTATCGGCTTGAACAATCAATGATCGTCTAGGCCTCGACAGACTTAATTATGCATATATAAATAAAAAAAAACATGTCATATTTTCCTCACACTTCCCGTTAATTGCAATTGATTTTAAGATGTTAATTTTTAAAACTACTTAGCTTTACTAAAGATAATTAAGTCCATTAAATCGATTAATTGCATTGGCATTATGAGTCAAAGATCCTCCGTGTATCGTTAATATCTGTCGTAGAGAGGCACGTAAAATTGAATCGCTGTAATTTAAAAAAAATATTAATAAATAAATCAAAATATAATTTTTTGGACTCCAGACAATAACTGTGTTTTCAATTCACTGGTTTTAAGATACTTTTATGAACTGAGACCAATAGTATGCATATGTATAAATGAAAGCTTGATTGTTTGCATGTGAGCTACCAGAAATTATTCTGTCTCCACTCAAGTTGCATTACTTATTGAACGACCCTTGCATGTGCTAATTTAAATGATAAATTTTCATACAGTTATGAAATTATTAAAAAAGATTTAGAAAACAAAAATAATATAAACCCAATCAGCCATTATTTATTTTCGAACAGCGAGTTGTATTTAGCAGTACCTACGGTATATTTTGAAGCAGAATATAGACAATTACTCACAGTAAGGAAGAAGGGGGGGGGGGACAAAACAAAGCAAAATAAAGAAAAAAGAAAGGCTCGTTTAATTGTGAGCTTAGAATGAAAAATAAATTTTGTGTCGGACATTTATTTAGAAAAAGAATTCATTCGGGAAAACGTTTATTTTTTTTTGGGGGGGGGGGTGTTTTTTGTTTTTGTTTTCTGTTTGTTTGTTGTTTTTTTTTTCTTTTTGAGTGTAAAAAGAATAATTGGTTGCTACCATATTTCTAAAATATTTATCTTCGCTATACCCAAATATGACTAGAGCACACAATGAATGGAATCAGTCAAAATGGTATGCTGATTTAGCTGTCATGGAACCTTATCCGATCTCTTTTCAAATGTATGTGATTGTGCTGCTCAAATTTTGCATTGTTTATTTGTGAGCTATATTACTGTTCTTTATTTCAGCAGTTGATTTATAGATTTTTAGAATCACGGGTTCAAAATGATAAAGGCAGGAAAAAGTGAAAATCATAGCTCTATCATATGATTGTACTTACCCTTAGCTGAATCTGACTCAGAGGTGACGAGTACAATCTTTAATACCACTGCACGTATTATGCAATCGTATAATAAACGATTGAATATTGTTATAACTGATCAAATGAGTGTAGTTATTTTCTAAATAATTAAGCTCCTCACAATATTTTATTGTGCGTCGGATGCAACTAATATTATCAAGCCTTATTGCTGGCCCTTTG